CTGTAAGTTGGAAACAGCGAGCCTGGTAGATGATGAGGCAGATTCTGCTTGCAAAATTCCAGAAGGAGCAGCCCAGTCCTGAGATGTGGCAAATTGTCTGGACAGATTCGCTTGTTGGAGCTGGGCCCTCTCAAATTGCTTCTCTAAGGCTTCATGGCGCCTCTGCTCCGCCTTGTTGGAAGACTTAGAGGATGATTTGGACTTGCGAGACTTGGATCTAGTTTTCTTACTGCCTGACTTATGTTGAGTGGCAGGGTATTCACAGGCGCCCTCTGAATCAGAAGATAAGGCAATGTCTGCCATGTTGAATGAGGCAGAGGAGGGCAGGCCACAAACCAAGTCCAACAGATATCTGCCCGAGGCTTCCCACCAGGAAAATGCCCACAGTGCAGTTCCAAGAGAGCAGGGGTAAAATTAGGCTCAGAAGCTGCTGAGCTCAAATCCCCAAATAAGACAGCCAAGTCAATCAGGCAAGGGAGTTATAAAGTTGACAGGCCTTGGTCAGGACAAGGGCTACAAGTCATTAAGGGTGGTTAATAATGCACAAAACACCCACCGCTAGCCGGCAACAGTCTCTTGTTTGTCTTTTTTTTTTTTTTTTAATCTTGCCTCTCCAAAATGGCGGCCGCCACGCTGACAGAGTCCCGAAACAAAATGGCGGCCGTCACAAACACAGAAATACTTGCTGAGGCGTTGGAGCTTGATCTCCCAGGAAAGGCACCTCCGAAGACGAACCACAGCGATCTGGCTAATGGGCGCCTCAATGCAGCCCGGAAAAACAGCGCTGAAGGTGTCCGACAGGCAGCGCTCACCTCCGCTAGCGCTGCACACTTTAAGCGCTCCTCAGCTGATCCGCCAACATCGGAGGCCGCCCGATGACAGGGCAGGCACTCCGGAGCCGCTCGTTAAGGACGGAGCTGAGGCGAGGGCAGCTCTAACGCCTCAGCGGAAGGCTAGCCTCTCACCAGCGGCAAAGGAAGCACGGATCCGCCCAGCCGGGCCGGAATCCGGCGCGCTGCAGCCCCGAACGGCGGGGAGATAGGCCAGGCGGCTTGGAACTCCAAGCACACCTCAGGCACACAGCGATAGGATTCTCCCTCGTGTCAGCTCCTCAGTATAATCAAATATGAGAAAGAGAAAATAATAAAATAAAATAATAAAGTAAGAAGTAGGGAAGGTAAATTCTAATTAGAGAGCACTCAAATTGCCAAGTTCTCACAGCAACTGAGTGAGAAAGACTGAAAGCTGATTGGTTGAGGTGGGCGTGGCCTGACAATGGGAAGGTTTAGCACTCAGTTCTGCCCAGCAACTAGGAGAAGCTACCCGTCCATGGATTGGAGGAGCAGCGCAATGGAAAATTGTCTTTGGTGCACATGCTCTCAGTGTACATTGTAATGACAGCCGAAAACCTTGTTCCCATATAATGCTTTTTACAATTTTTATCCCATCTTTATTTTTATAAATAACTCAAGGCAGAGAACATATCTAACACTAAAATGGTGAAATGGGAATCATACAGGATCCTTTTAAAACAAAAGTATATTTAAAACAAAAGTATATTTAATATAAACGAAAAATGAAGAGGCCTTCCTTTCTCTTGATGAAGAGGCAGCTTGATAATATATGCCTGTTATTTCTCAGTCCTAAACCATAATGTGATTTGTTTATTATTATGTGCAAACTTTGCCATAATTTTTGTTTAACCAAATGTCCTAATTTAGTTTTATATATAAACTCAATCACTGAGTAAGTAACAATGACTGATTTAGAAATTATATATATATATATAGTTAGGGCTCATACATATTAATCCATTTTCCTAGAAAATGGTTTATTGAATAAAACACAAAGTAGTGTCAAATGTGGATAGATGTATAATTTTCTATTTATTTTGTCATGTTTATGCAGTGTATATTGGAAATGGTGACCCTTTGAGAGCTATACGCAACGAAATTTCATTTTAATGTATGCCGATTAGTGTACATTCAAAGTGACATTAAAGTTTTAAGTCTAAGTAAATGATTTTAAACATATTTATATTAAATCAATAAAATATAATAAATGAAGTGCTTAGTGTCATATATTTTTCCAAAATTTATTAGAAAATGTATAAACTACTATGTAACTTTTCTTAAAATACTAGTCTGTCTGGAGGAACAAAGAAGTATTAAATGAATCTTTCTATTTGCATGAAGTGCTCTGTAACCTATGGTGACCTCCACTCCAAATCTCTCACTGGCTTATATATTTAATTATTTAAAACATTTATATAGCTGTCTATCTTATAACAAACTTTGGGGGGCTCCAAATCAAAAATTAAAATAACATAAAAACCATATTAAAATTATAAAAACCAAACACATTAAAAAAAACTGGTGCCAAAGCCAAGTTTCCAATATACAGTCACCTCATGTTATTCCTTGTTGGAAAAGCCAAATCTTCAGTGCCTTATGGAAGGCTGGGGAGGTAGAAACCTGCCAACACTTCAGGTGGAAGTGTTCCACAGGGCAGCCATAAAAAAAGGCTCACTTCCTAGCACCCACAAAATGGCAATATTTAAGAGAATATTTGAGAGAAGGGACTAGAAACACGGCCACCCTATCTGAATGGATAGATATCCTAAGGGAAAGGTCATATACTTGGCCATATGTGATATTTAATATTTATGTGATATTTACCTTAAGTTACACCTTGAAAGAAACTAGGAGCCAATACAGCTCACACAGCAGAGTGTTACATGGGCAAACCTAGGGACACCCGTAACTGCTGCCATGTTCTGTACTAATTGAAGTTTTCAGGTACAATTCAAGGGCAGACTCATGCAAGAGAGCATTGCAGTAATCTAAAGAATTTTATCAGTTCTGATAAGGGAATAAAATGCTGGGAAAATATATTTAACCATTTGTTAAATAGTAAAGCATTTAATTGTCTTTTATAAGAATGAAGATTCGTTCTCCAATCTTGTGGGTTGGTTTCCAAACGTTTCGTTACCAGGTTAGTTACATCTTCAGCAGAGTTTAGGGGATGTCAGTGTCAGTGTGCTTCTGTTTATAAGGGCTTTGTGTGGTCAGTAGGTCTTGTGATGGGTCAGATGGGGTATGTGTCAAGTGAGGGTCTCGTAATGCCTCTCCATCTTTTCATTGTATGTTATTATTACTCGTGTTGTCTTCAAAAGGCATGAAAATAAAATCAGCAATGAAATATTCGGATGAGCTAAGAAACTTTCTTTAAAATCAAAATCTGAAAACCAAAATGTGTACATTTGCAAAGAAAACCATAAAATTATGCAATTCAGCATAAACTATTCACCTAATTTTCTTTGTGTACTTCAGTACTATAAATCAGTACTGTTTCCTGGTCTTTAAATTGACATATGGAACATAAAGAACAATAATCAGATTAGGCAAGCAATCAGGATGATCAACCAAGACAGTAGGACAGAAACATGTTCCTTTTAGGTCATGCTACAGTTATAAACAAAGAAGCTACAATGAGTTTAATAAGGTTAATGAAAGATTATTTCTGGCAGTAATAGCTGATTTAGACCCTTTCACAAAAATTAATTTTAAATAAAGTATGTTTACTTAAAAGGAAATCCTACTAAATTTCCTGAATCCTGCTCTCTAGTAAGTATCAGAAGCACATTTAATTCAAGTCACAATGCAGACTTCACCATTATCATGGTTAAGAATGGATTCATATAGCTGCTTTTCGGTGAGTCAGCCTTCTTTCTGAATTACAGAAAGAAAAACAAAGAGGAAAACGATGCCTTAATTTTTAAAAAAACAACAAAAGCAAAATGTTGATTATAAATGGATAAAGGGGACAGTATTAATGTGAAAGAAAGATAAAGAATTTGGCAAAAGTGCTTTTGGTATTATTTGGAATAAAATAAACAGACCAGGCCTGTGTTGATTGTCTGATATCAAAGGGAAAAAATGGAATTTACAAAATAAGATAAATATAATAGGACTATGTCATTAAAACTATGGAAAGACAAAATGGATTAAGGGTGTAAAGAAAGAGAATGAAGAAAGAACCCCAAAAAACCTGCCAGACTATTAACTGCTGAAAAAATAGGAAGATTCTTAAATACCCACAACAGAGAAATGATTGGTAAAGGTGAGAGAACTTAGCAGAGATGTCAAAATTGATTAGAAAAAGATCAACAACTATATTTATCAGTGACTGGAAATCCCTTATGACTTTGTTTCCCTTGAAAACAAATCTATCTATCTATCTATCTATTTATCTTTAAGAATGTATATTAAATACAAAAAAACAAAAAAACAAAAAACAAAATTGTACTAGAAAGACAAAAAGCAAGTCTACATTAAAACAGTACATTTAGAAAATTAGGATGCCCTTTTTTAAGCAATTTCCTAAAAAGGAGGAACATAACTATGCATTCTATACATATAGAAAGGGTGATATAACACAATGAGAGCCATAGATTTAACATTGCTTTATCAAAAGTGCAGAATCTTATTTTGTACAGGACAGGAATAGCTACTGAAAATATACTAAGGCATGCTAAAGGTTTTGTATATGAGAGCAGCTTTGATTTAGACAACTTGCTGGCTTAAAAAAGGAAGACGATTACTTTAGGAAGGACAGCTTGATCTCACTTTCTTTCCAAATTCATAGTACAATGCTTGGCACTAGGCACCACCCATTCATAACCAATCATCAGAATATATACCTTGTGCTTATGTTTATATTTCAAAACTTAATGCTCTGAAGAACTTGTAAGATACGTTCCAATTCTGTAGTATGGATATGTCACTTATATATCTAAAAGAATTATAGTGCTGAACCAGTTTCTGCAACAAATAACTTTTAGTCTTTTCAGCAGAATACTTTTAAATAGAGTTCTAAGGAACTGCCTTCCCCTTGTTACAACGGCCTACTTCAATCTCACAGAGAAGGCATGCTGCCATCAGCTAGAGACTTACATTGGTGAGCACCAGGAGAAGTACCTTTTCTGTTGTGGCACCCACCTTATGGAACATCCTTACTCCTGAAATTAGATTGGCCACGTCCCTTTTGATTTTTTTGAAAGGCCATCAAGACCTGGTTATGCTGTTGGCCTTGGGCTCTTTTTAATATGTTCTGCATTTCAGTTAAGCAAACGTATGAGCGTCTCTAGGTGGAAAATGACAATTTAATCATAAACATGTTCTTACTTTGGCTTTATCAATGTTTGCTATAGATGCGCAAGTAGTTGAAGATGTTATCCCATATAACATTTTAGTTTTAATTAAATCATGAGAGATAGTTACATATTTGCAGATTTTACACATCAAGCTCAGGTACAATATGGTTGGTTTGGTTTTGACACAGATAGTATAAATAGTATAAAACAGATAGTATAAAGCAACTGCAATTTGTATATTTTTAAAAACATTGTTTTTATCAGACTACTAGAGTTATTAAAACTATGATTAAATAAACCAGTTTATCACCATTGCATAGAGGCCAGATAAGAGTTTTCTGTAATGTTCTGCTCCTATCTATGATCATCTGGATTTTTGCAGCTTAGATCTGACAGTCTTAATAAAGGCCTCTGGACCAAACAAACTTCTTGTGATACAATAGGTGGGGCAAGACTTTGCATCTGCCTTACATGCTATCTTTATTTATTAGATTTTCATCCCACCTTTATTACTTTACAAATAACTCAAGGTGGCAAACATACTAATACTTCTTCCTATTTTTCCCACAGCAACCTTGTGAGGTGGGTTGGGCTGAGAGAGTGACTGACCCAAAGTCACCCAGCTAGCTTTCATGCCTAACACAGAACTAGAACTCACAGGCTCCTGGTTTCTAGGCCATGAAACTATGGTATGTTTGTAACTTCAGACATGCAAGGTTCTGTTAATTTAGCTTCATAATAAAGTAAATTTAGCTCATCTAAATTGTGTGTCCTATCTGGTTTACTTGGGATGGCTTACATCAGTTTTGCAACTCTAAAGGTACAAACTTCCTGCTGACACTTTTAAGAGTCTGATCAATGGGGGGGGGGGGGGGTCCCTAAGTTTTTGTCTGACCATTGATTGCAGGCTCCCCCCTCTCTTATCAGATAGGCTGCATTTTTATCCCTTGTCCCCCAAAGCCATCCACACATTCTATTAATTCCATTAAGCATCAGTTAATGATGGTATTTGGGACCAACATTCCTGTCGCTAAGTGAGTCATAAAGCACATCACATGAACATGCCAGCACATCTGGCATGTTAAACCCTGCATCATTGTTAAGTGAGGACATCACATGATCACCATTTGCAACCTCCTGCTGCTGCCTGGTTGCTTGTAGGAAGCCACAAAAAAGGTGCAAATTGCAACCATGTGACCTCAGGATGTTGCAATAGCTGAAATTGTAAGGATTGGCATCAAGTACCACTTATTCTGTGCCATCACAAGTTTAAATGGTGGCTGAATGAGTGGTTGTTAAAGGAGAACCACCTGTACTTGAAATCATGTCAGCTCTTAATTGGATTGTAACCTATCTCAAAATTATCTAATAATAAGCTATAAATATATATTTTAATTAAATAAACTAGAATTTTTCTTCCATTATGCATTGACGGTTTGTGAGGTAGGGGTTCCAGTTATGAGCCCTGCTGGAGTTAAGAAACCCTGGATTATGATCTTTTTCCAACTAATTCGCCACACAGAATGTGATATGCAGGAAAGGCACCATCACACGATTTTACAAAACGCTCGCGCCGAAAAGCAAAAAGATCTGCAAGATATACAAAAAAAAGAGAGTAGTTACTAAATCAAGACATCCACCCAAGGCCCCGTTTTACATTTTTCCTGAACTCGGAAACATCACATCCAATCGTCCATCTCCTGCCCTTGTCTCTCCTCATTACCTGATCGCCAGGCTCCTTTTCCAGCAACTGGGAACACAGATCGGAACAGAGTTGGAATTTCCTCCGCCTGAAATAACTCAAGGCGTGGAGCAACGGGTCCATTTCCAGCCCCATAAGCGAGGCAAACGACTAATAACGCCACGCTAACACTCCACGCCACCCCCCCCTCACTCCCGCTGCTCCTACTTAGGCCCGACGTCTCAGCTTTGTTTTGCCCAGCAACGCTAACCAGGGTCCTTGGCGAAGGATGGGCGACTAAGCAACTGCCTGAAGGGCCAGAGAGTGTTTCTCTCCTGTCTCGGAGAAGGGAACGGGCCAGCAGGGAAACTCTAACATTTCAATGCTGGCATTGACTGCTGAAGGTTTTCGAGGTTGCGGAGTACGTCTGATTTCTCTGCCTTCGTTCTGGATTCACGTCTCTTTTTCGGGAACATTAGGGGTTTCTGACTGGTTTCCTCTCGTTATGTGGCATGAAAAATGCTAAAGTAGCAGGTTTTTTTTATAGCGCGCAGACTGCAGAACCACGAAATTTCATGTGTTGGTGGTTCGTGATTTGAACTTCATGAACACTGCAGAGGAAATTACTTGGAGAAATAGAATTAACATAATTTTATTTCGTAATAGCCGTTAATAATCATCTTTGATCAGTCACAGAAGATAAACGTATTTCATTATTTTTACCCAAGTCAAACTTGAGAAACTAATTTATTGTGTGGTGTATGATACGATAATGTACTGTGTGGTTAATTTGTGGTTCAGTGTGTTATGCAAAATCCTGAACATTGAGTTAACTCTGGAAAATCTGGGGACAATTTTTCTCTGCTTAAGGCTCAGGTTTATTATTGTTATGGATAAAACGGGGGTGGGAACCGGGAGGGAACACCAAGCTGGTAGGAATAGGTAACACTCCAGAAGATAGGCTTAAGATACAGAGGGATCTTGACAGACTTGAACATTGGGCTCTAACAAAATGAATGGTGAAAAAAGTAAGGTTCTACATTTAGACAAGAAAAACCAAATGCGCAGGTATAGTATATAGGTGGTACCTGGCTCAATAGTAGTAACTGAGAGGGATCTTGGGGTCCTAGTGGATGATCACTTAAATATGAGCCAGCAGTGTGCTGCAGGTGCCAAAACCAACACAGGGTGCATTAAGGGAGAGATAGAAACAAGATCACGTGAAGTGTTAATACCACTTTATAATGCCTTGGTAAGGCCATATTTGGAATACTGTATCCAGTTTTGTTCACCATGATGTAAAAAAGATGTTGAGACTAGAAAGAGTGCAGAGAAGAGCAATAAAGACAATTAGGGGATTGGAGACTAAAACATAAAGAACAGTTGCTGGAATTGGGTATGCCTAGGTTAATGAAAAGAACTAGGAGTGACATGATAGCAGTGTTCCAATATGTAAGGCAGCGATGACTAACTTTTTCCGGACTGAGTGCCCAAAGTGGAGAATAGCTTGGTCAGCTGGCCGTCGCGCGTGCGGGAGTGGCAAAACCCAGAAGAGCGGCGTTCCATTGCGCATGCATAGGCTGGCACCTGAACTTCTGGGTTTACGTTGCATGCATGTGCAATGGCCAGCTTTTTGTCAGGTGCGTGTCCGTGCTTGAAACCCAAAGTTCTGGTGCCGGCTCGTGCATGCACAACAGAACACTGCTTTTCCGGGTATTGGCGCTCCCGTGCACACGAAGGCCAGCAAGGCCACACATTCCTTGCAGGATGGTTTCATGTGCCATTTCCAGCACACAGACAGGCATGCAGTGACATAAAAGGTTAACCATCACTGGTATAGGGTTTCCTGCCTGAGCAAGGATTGGACAAGAAGACATCCAAATTCCATTCCAACTCTGTTACTCTGTTCTGTTCTGAAATTGTCCTTAACCCGTCTGAACCCTACTCAATAACTTTGATGTTTCACACATCAAAGAAAAGTGCAATTTCCTTAACTATGATCTGCTCAAAAAAACAAAATGAATTGAGTTCAAGGAGTCTGTTAAACAGGATTTGGATTTAATCCTCCACCCCAAAGCTAACTAAATTTCTTTTTTCTTTCTTTTTCTTTTCTTTCTGAAGGAAATACTGTATACATGCAGGTATGTTTATATTTCCATAGGTGAGAGATAATTGGGATCCATTGATCAGTAGTGAAATGTAAAATTTGTTACTACCGGTTCTGTGGGTGTGGCTTGGTGATGGGTTAATGTGACTGGGTGGGTGTGGCCCACTTTAAAAAAAAATTTTTAAAGCATTTTTTCTACAACCTTAAGAGGTTGCAGAAAAAATTGCTTTTAAAAGCCTCTGACATTCAAGCAACTCAGCTGGGATTGCCAGAGGCTTTTAAAGGCATTTTTTATCCTACAACCTCTTCAGCCGAAGAGCCATGCGATCATCAGGCTTTTTTTTTTTACTTTTAAAAGCATTTTTTCGGCCAAAGAGGTTGTAGAAAAAATGCTTTTAAAAGTAAAAAAAAAAGGCTCAGATGATAGCGTGGCTCAGTTGGGCATGGGGGGGGGCGCAGGGATTTTTGCTACCAGTTCTCTGAAACATCTGTTGCCATCGCTACCGGATCGGGCGATCCGATACAAACCGGGAACATTTTACCCTTGCCATTGCTGTTATAAATGGTGAATCTTATAGTTTCTATCTTTTATCAGGTATAGGTAGGCATATACAGTAGTTAAATAACAGGTGCATATGCAAGTATTTTTTTGAAAAGGAAAAACCATCCAGGACTTCTTTCAGCTGATGTTTACAGTCTTAGATTGATAACATTGTACAGGATTTTGTCAATATAATATTTTATTAATGTTTATGATACTTTAGTATATCAATCTCTTTTGGAATGGTAAGATACTCTTAATTCAAGGTTATTTTTCTTTGGGTAAACAGAAAAGTGTGTTATGTGTATCAAGCTGGTTTTTGTCCTTAATGACCACAAGTTGTACTGAATACCTTAACAGCTGTATTATTATACTAATTATAGATTGAATTTGGTTTGAACAATCATGTGAAATTGAACTTATTCACTGGAACGATTCTGGACAGCTATCAAATTTACTTTGTTTCCATCAACTGATATCAACAGAATATGATTATATCAGCTGCTAAATTCTTTACTAAATTATAAAGACTTGTAAAGTGATGTTCAAGTGTTAATTTGTTATATTTTTCTTTTTTGTATGTGTTCAATGTTTTTATAATTACCACTTGATTTTTTACTTCATTACAGATTGTTGAGAAAGGACGCATTCTATTTTTGAAGTTCCTTCATATTTTAAGTAAAAAACAAAGATTTTAAAATTATTTCAAATGTATGAGAATGAGCAGCATTTAAATGGCTGCTTTGCACCATAATACATATCCATGCTTTCCTTTTTAACCTGTCCACTTACCTGAGCTGCCAAATTTCAGATGACCATTAGGTGGAACAATTATCTCCAGATTTTTGCAGGCCAGATATAGCTCTACATTTCCCCACTCACTCAATCTCTGAAACCTTGGAGTCATTTTAGCAGGCTATACTTTTTTTTGACCTTAAAAAAGATGAAATATCAGAACAGCATGCTATAAATTATAACTATTATAAAAATTATAATTCTTCCAGTTGGCCTGGGGACTCAATGGGGGAGTACCATGCCATAGGTTCTCTGCTATTCAACTAATAGCAGATAGATTAATAATTTTAATATAATAACACATAATGTAAAATATGAAAAGTAGTTATATCAGAAATACTGTAGCTAGATGATCTCTCCTTTGGAAATGTATAATATACAAATAAATAAAATAAATAACTTAGGAATTTTGCCAGCTACTGGTAAATAAAATATACTTAGTTGGCTATATAGTCCAAGGATCTGACTTTACATATAAAAGATTTATATATTCATATGCTAAGTATGCATATGTAAAAAGCTTGTTAATCTTCATGATTCTCAGTTGCAAAACAGATGGAGAATTAATTCTGTCAGGCAAAATGCAAGATAGATTTTATGTGCTGATAGTTTGGGTTTACTGCACCATTAACCACCTAGAGCAGTTCCATGGTGTACAATGTATCTCAATCAGCTAATCTTAATGCAAACTAAGTTTATCAGTAGTCTAGCCATTCTCTTTAGTTCAGTTTTTCTGTAAACTGGGAAAAAGTGTTGCCAGAAACATTGTGGAAACTGTTATTCTGGTGGCCCAGTTTAGTTTGCTATTCTACAGTTCAGCACAACCATTTATACAGTTGAGATAGTTAAGTTGGTGTCTACTCTGATTGATTCACTTCTAAATGGCAATGCCCCATCAAACAACGTGTATCCAGTTCCTTTCATCACTCCTTGCAGGACTTGATTTCCTGGCCCCTCATTATATTGATAGCTCTCTCTGGAACTCTGATTTGTTGATGTTAAACTGCAGCCCGTGGAATTTGATACAGAATTGTAACTAGGCCCTGGACAAGGGAAAATAGAGGTGCCAATCGCTTATCATGATCTGGGGGTCTACATTTCAAAATGACATTTGCCTTTTTAGCAGCTGCAACATATTCAATTTATGATACGCTATGTCATCTAGACTCATTCCCCATATAGTATTGCCAAGCCAGGTCTCTTTTATCTTATACTTGTGCCTTTTATATTTTCTCCATTTATTTATTTAATTTATATGATACCCGTTGCATGGTTCGAGGTGACTCTGAGCCTCATCTGGATAAAAGACTATATATCCCATTCATTCCAGCCTGTCGTTCAAACTTGTTCTTATCTTTTCAATTTTTTTCTTCTTTTCTAAAATAATAAATAATATTAATAATATAGTCACTCCTCTTATTTTGGGTCATCTGCAAATATAATCAAACCTCAACCCCTTTATTCATTAGCAAGAAGAATATCAAACAACTGATACTTTTTCAAGACAGGAACTTAAACTCCATGCTATTCTCTTAAATTCAAATGGAGCTATTTAGGAGTACTTTCTGGATGTCATCACTCGGTCAGTACTGAATCCATGTAATAGCAGTGGCATCTAGTCTGTATTTTATCATTTTATTAATGTGGATGTCCTGAGACTTTGTTGAATTCTTTGCTGAAGTCAAATACAATATGTCCACAGCATTCCTTTGATTTGTTAGGTTAGTAACTGTTGAAAAAGCAGGTCAAATTAATTGGCTCTTGTACATTGTTGCACAGGAAGTGCTCATAAACATTCTGTTTAAAAATCTGCTTCAGGATTTTCCTCAGGTCTGTAACTTCCAGATTATCCTTGTTCCCTTTTTTTGAAGAAAGGGACATTTCCTCTTGGGTTTTTTTGGACCTGACAATTCTCAAGAACACTTAGACATTATTCGATTATTTTGTGTTCACCTTTGCTAGTTTTTAATGACTGCAATTCAGATTGGAATTATAGTTGGGAGTCATGCCAGTCATTAAGCAGGTCACCACTGACTGATCTGATTTTACAATCTTTCTTGTAGTGTTATTAAGTGAATATCGCTGTTGTTAAGTGAATTCATTGTCCACAGAGGATGGTTTTTTTGCCAGAAACAGGCAAAAAATTGTCAGTTTCTGGGGAAAAACATAATAAATCATGGTCATCTGACTACAGGATGCTACAAACTGCCTGTTCTGTCCCCGTCTCACACACGCACACAAACAGTCAGCCAGGGGTTAAATAAAACTTGCAGAAAATAAATTCCTTCGATAACAGGATTGGCAGCAACCCAGTAGCTGCTTGCCAAGAACTTTACTCACAGAGGGAGGTGTTCCTCCTCTGTCAGATAAACCAAAACAAATACACAAAGCCACAGAATTGTCAAGTCCAGTCCGTATTAAATCCAAGGCAGGCAGATAACGTAGTTTCAGAGATACAATGCGACTCGCTAGTTATTTAGTTTTGTCCGTCACAGAGCCTGAATGGCCACCACACCCCCTTTTATCCCCTGTGGGGTGTGGTCCAGTGACTCAGCTTAATCTCTGGCACGCCTCCTTTTCTGCTGCGTGCGTTTGTCTCTCCGACGCTGGCATGGATCCAGCCAAGACTTATCTCCGTCACTGTCCAATTGCGACTGCTCGGCGATACCTGGCTCCTGGCCAATCTCTTCTCCTTCAGGAGACACCTGAGGCATTGCCAGAGAGGAGGATCCTGGAGAGGGAGGCCTGGCCAACTCCTCTCCTTCACTTTCGGAGCCTTCTCCCTCCAATAAGACGGGGTCGGGGGTCGGAGTCACAACACTGCCATAAATGTGAGCTGGTTGCTGAGAGCCCGAAATGTGATCACATAACTGTAAGGGTGGTGGCCAACCATCGGAACTTAGAATCCAGATTGTGTTCCGATGGAGGTCCATCATAACTTCAACAAGTCACTAGGTGACAGGTATTAAATAAAGAGCTACTTGTAATTCATCTGGCTGGTTTAAATTAGTTAAGTGTTCTTGTGTTCTCTTCTAAACTGCAGCTCCTTTATTTCATAGCTAGCTAGAGCTTTGTTGCCTGAGTGAAGATAAGCAGAAAATACTATTTAAAAATTCTGCTTTCTCACCATTATTCCTTCTTTTTTCTTCCAATACATTTCTATGCTTTGGCTTTTTTTTTTTTTAAATATATCATTTGTTTCTGAAAATGCTGTTTTCTTATTTGGGCTGTTTCTTGCAAGCCTCAGTTTGTTCTGACATTTAGCCTTTCTGACACAATGTTTAGTTTCTTGCAATTGCATTATACAGTATCGGTCTTTGGTTGTATGCACCTTTCTCCATTGTCCCCACTTTCTATATTTTTTTAGGGGAAAGTTCTGTGGGGAGACACAGGTCTCTAAGCAGGCCTCCCATTTTTTTTTCTACTAGTAAGCATTTTTTACAATTGCATTTTCCAGGATTTTTCTTTTTTACTGGACACCGTCTTTCAGGATTTCAAGCCATTGGATTGTATATAGCTTCTTTTTGAGTTAACCATAATCTACTTTTCTTTCAGTATATCTCCCTGATTCTTTCATCCATGCTTCCATGGTAAGTATTAGATCCAAAATAATGCATCCCTATACGCAAGGCTTGAAAGAAAATATAGGTACCAAGACATTCAACAATGGAAATTTTCTCTACTTGTTATTTGTCAATGCCTGGGTCAGATTTTGTTCTTGTAGTGTACTTATTCTTTATTTTTGCTTTCTAACATCCCAAATATAGTTGTGGTCATGTCAAAAAGAAGCATTTCTCACATGCTGTGTATCATTCTTTTCTACTGTACAATCTGCAAATGGAATAAAATAAAGTAAGTAAGCAAACAGCATTAAGATCTTGATAACCGAGTACAGACTCAGGCAAAGACCATCCGGAATGTTAACCTGGTCAGGTTTACATTTTCAGCATCATTATTAAATCCCCTGTAAGAAAAATCCAGAATTTAGCTTTCTTTTTTAAAAATATTACTCATCCTGTTTTTTTAAAAAAAAATAGGCTAGGGTGTGTATCCTTAAAGTCTTGATATAAATAGTGATGTGCATTTGTGTGCATATTGAAATCTAGCATCTGGAGTTAGCTATTTATTCACTGAATCACATACAGTATCTTTCTGGCATTTTAACATAATTGACTCCTTATCATGTTAAAAACCATTTGTAAATGAATTGAGAAACATCAAGACGAACACAGAATATTGCACCATGCTGCACTTTGAGAGTGAATGATTAATGGAAAGTGTTTCTAGATGGCTGAAAGGAGGGAAAATAACAAGGAGGAAAAGAAAGGAGGAAAATACCTTTCACAGCAAATTTCTGTGACATGTTTGCCTTTAGGTGGTTCAGGAACCCAAGGCGTGGGCTGCAATTAAGTGCTACATTTTAACATGCACTTAGCTAGACAACTTGAAGTTACACACAGCTACAGCCATTCTGTTTGGCAGCTTAAATGTTTTATCCACACTTAGGATGAAACTTTGCAGAGGCTTTTCGAAATCAAATTCCATCTCAGAACAATGAAATCTGCGTTTATGGACACTTTACTATTGGAAAGAGAGATTCTGCCAGGTTTGGAATAGGAATCTGGTTCCTTGCTTGGAAGGTTGTTTGTCTTGTTGTTTTCAATGGACATGCTTAGGATCTTCTTTGCTCTAGAACCGCGTTCCTCCTCCTCCTCCTCCTCATTTGCAAAGCAGCTTACTCTCGCAGGCAGCTTCGCCTCTCTTTCGCTACCCCCCACCTCTCTTCATGTGGCTCGAAGAAGACGCGAGGGCTGGCTAGGGCTGCCCTGGGAAAACCTGGCCGTGAAAGGGCCGCCAGCTCAAAATTTTACAACAACAAAAAATGAAGACCGGGCAGCCGTTCACTGAAGGAAGCGGACGAAACTCATCACTCCGACGTCCAGGCAGCCTTCGGGAAAAACAGAAGGGGAGCGCCGGCCGCCGCCAAGATGAAGGGGCCGCGCAGCCGCAGTGGAGAGACGGGGGCGGGGGAGGATTGACATTGCGGGAGAAGAGCCCGCGGGTTTCGGGAGGACGACGACGACGACGCAGCCAAGCAGCCGCGCGCAACCTCCGCGGCGGCGGCGACGACGACGACGGGCGCGCGGGTGTGCATGTGTGCATGTGGGGTTGTCTTCGCCTAGCCTTCCTTGCAGTTTCTGCCTCCGTCGCGCCGGGGCGGCTGTCGGGCCCAGCAGGTGGATAAACACGGTCGTCGAACCATGGGCGCCGCACTGCCGCCGCGCAGCCATGTCTAGCGGCGATAGCAGCAGAGGCGCTGCCCGGAGGAGCGCAGCTCAGCGCTGTGCGCGAGGTTTTCTTTGAGGCGGGCGGATTGGCGGCGGCGGCGGCGGCTGCATGAGACGATTCCATGTTGGCGGTTCAGGATTAAGCGAAGGAAGACCCCGGTCGTGGCGCAGAGAGCCGGCTGACTTCTTCCTCTCTCCCTCCATTCCTCGGCGCTCCGGTGGGAAGGCTCCGTTCTCCAGCGGGGAACGGAGAGGCATGGCTGACCGAAGCGCTCCCAAGTGCCACTTGAGGCTGGAGTGGGTTTATGGCTACAGAGGTCACCAATGCCGCAACAATCTTTACTACACGGCCGCCAAAGAGATCGTTTATTTTGTGGCGGGGGTTGGAGTGGTCTACAGTCCCCGGGAGCACCGGCAGAAATTTTACCTGGGGCACCAGGACGACATCATCAGGTAGGATGCCGCTTCTTCCTCCCCAGCCCTCCTACCTTGTTCTGCTCCAAGCCTTCCTTGGAACCGTCCTTGCGGGAATTATCGCAGGACAACCGGCGGGCGCCCTCCGTAGGGCACCGAGTCCCCCGCTTGATTCCCTTTCCTAGAAGCGTTGCAGTAGCTGGGAATTCTTCGAAGCTCTCCTTCTTCTTCTTCTTCTTCTTCTTCTTCTTCTTCTTCTTCTTCTTCTTCTTCTTCTCCTTCTCCTTCTCCTTCTCCTTCTCCTTCTCCTTCTCCTTCTCCTTCTCCTTCTTCTTCTTTTATGAGGCTTCTCTTTATCTGTTTTATTCCAAACATTAACGTTTGGTTTCTGATCATTGCAGTTCCTTTCTTTTTCTAAGATCCACTGAAATAATCTCCTGAAAAAAAATCTTCAGTTTATAATTAAACTTTTAGCAAATGTAAACTTCCTTTTCTTGAGAATGAAGTAGAGGTTTTGAATCCATTTACTTTTGGCTAGTGTGTGAAATCAGAATTCCCATAATGAATACTGTATCTCTGATTTTGATTCATCCCTCACCTCTTTTTAGCTTTTCCCATAGTCTAGTTGAACTGCTGTCCATTTATCTTTGATTAAGATACAAATACAGTATCCTTACATGAACTGCAGTCTCCTTTGCCAATTGCTAGCCTGCCTCTATTGTCTCTGTCCCCTGTCAGTAATAATAACTGACTTTCCTCTAAGGTACAGGTTCATAATAATCCTAATAGATTTTACACACCATGAATCTGGCCTCAGATCGTATTAGGCAAAGAACTACTTTGATACTGGTATGGACTTAAGCCCATCTAACTTGGCTTGGGACAAAATGAGAGTTATATCATGTGGACATGGTGCAAAAAAAGTTAACGGCGTGTAAATTCTCAATCATGCAGGTAGAGTTGTACAAAAGTCACCTAGCCACAGCACCAACACACCCTGATGTTTTGAGATTGAGTCATGGCAACTGGATTTCTTTTCTTGTTGCTTTGAAATGTTTCACTGCTTATCCAAGTAGTTTGGATGACTGAAGAAGCTACATGGATAAGCAATGAAAAATTTCAAACCAAAAAAGACAAGGAATTTAATTGCCATGACTTAACTTCCAGACATCAGGGTGTGTTGGTGCTGTGGCTAGGTGTAAGAAAAAATCTTCAATTTCTATCTTTTAAAAAACCTTCTCTATCACCAGTGATCTTTATGTACGCTTGTTAAGATGAGAGTGCACTTCTAATACACCCATGTGCTGTTTTTTTGCTTCTTCAATATCAAAGACACCTGGAAAGATATTCTTATAGTGCTGCTTCTTTTCCTTTCACTGCCTTATGAAATTGTCTACAGTTGAGCAGCGTAAATTTTGAAGCATTGTAATCTTTATGAGTGGCTGATTGGATGATAGTATTTAGTTTGTCTTGAACAGATATATTTTTTCATTCCTACCAAATATGCTTTTTTAGTTAAAATAATATTAGTTTTATTCTCTTTCATTGATTAATAAACAGATGTGACACATTTACATGAGAGAAAACTATTTTTTTTTGTCCTGGGCAATGGATTTCTGTGATTCCTGCCATTAATTCAAATCAGTAAACTTGCAGAAGTTTATTGTTAATGTATTATATAACTGTGACCCATTTCTTCAAGCTTTTGAATATTGTCTTGTGCTAGTAGTGCAGTATTATATGAATAAATAGAATCATACTTTTATATAACTAATGTTGGCAATCATAGCATAATATTGGCAAAATCTTAGAAAATAATATTAAAACTTTGTTTTGGAATTGGTTTTCACTTAGGATTTAATAATTGTGTATTGCATTTGAACATATATATATATATATATGTATTGTATACACACATACATAGAACTTTCCAAGTAGAAATCAAACAATATTTCTTACTGAATTCTGAATTTCTGATGGTCTTACATTTTCCCTTAAACATTAATCTTCCAAGCTCAAAATAAATGCTTTAAAATCTTTCATTAACTTTCTTAGAACTATCAGTAAAAATAGAGAATATTTTAAGGGTGTTAATTTTGAGATACGATTTCAAATAAATATTTTATTTTGATTGTATCTCTCATACTTTAGTTCATAATTACATATAAATAAAAGTATATTTTTACTAGAGTATACCATTAATTGAAGCATCAGTGTCAAATAAATATTATAGCTGTATTTCCAATAAAACATTTATTTTTTATAGTATATTGTATACTATACAATTATTGCTATTAGCAAAACTCCTATTATTTTTTATAGTAAGTACATGTTATGTGGAATTAGTTGCTTTTGTATTCCAACCTTAATATGCATTAATTTGAATTTCCACCCTGTTTTTAAATGTGATACTACTATCATGTGCAGAAATTAGTAACTGAGATTGTGGGTCTGTAAGATTTTCTCTAGAGTAAGAAAATAAGCCAACAGCTAGGGAATGTAAAATTTATTTTAAAACAAACACACCTTTATTTCTCATAAAGCTGTAAAGATAAATTTGATAAATCAACATATCTAGGGAAACCTCATAAGTCAGTGAAGGACTCAGTAGGATGTTCAGTGGTGGGATTTGAGCATTTTTCATAGGATACATTACTCATAAGAAAACTGAAGAAAGCATTCTGTTCAGCAGTTGAGATTTCAGTCTTATAGCAGCTGTATAGCCAAGGCAGTCACCAATCTTACTGCAGGAACAGAAGCAAATTCCATGAACAGCAGGGGAGCTGTCCAGCACAAAGCGATACCATTCAATGTAGAAGGAAAACAAGCCAAGGTTCTTGTCAAAACAGGAGCTGTCCAGCTTTGTTTTTAGATATTGGGCGAAAAGATACGTGAGAAGAATTACAACAGTTTAGCGTTTTGCTGGATTCAGAGAATTCCATAGCAAAGGATTCTTCAGATTTGTTTAGCAAATAGCAGCAGAGCATTTATAGTTATCCGAAACTCTTAAATATGTAGAGAAGCTAAAAGAAGGCAGTTTATATTCAATAGAAAGGATGTTTAGAATGAAAATCTAAGACATATCTTATACTGGAAAAATTCTAAACACAGACAGCAGTAGGCCACTAGATTATTTTGTATTATTACAGTATCAGCTTATCTCCACATTACGCTAATATTACTATATTATGTTGTTGTACATTATTTTTGTGTACTTAGAAAATATAACTTCTCAGATATTAGATTTGAAAAAAATCAAAGACTAATACATTTAGCTACTATATTTGAACATAAGAGTAATGATGTATGGATTCATGGTCATTTAAATCTGGAATGTGGTTGAAAGATGCTAGTTTCTAGTAGAAACATGTCCTATAATATCTAGCTCCCTGGAAATCTTTGTTAATAGCATGTGAAAGTGAATTAAAGAATACATGAGGTTTTGAGATAACTAGCTTAAAATATAATTATGTAGCATCTGTTTTTGTCTGTATATGTTTTCCTGAATTTTTCTGTGTAAAATTTTCTCATTTGATTTGTTCAACTGCAGTAAAGGATATGGGTATAGCTACTTCTCTGTTTGCATGAGATAGTAGGAAGCTGCCTTATTGTCAGGCACGGTAATTGAAGATTGAGTTGTAGCTCAGATTTATTGCTCATAACTATATCCAAGAATCTGGTCAACTAACAGTCAGCACTAAATTGGCACTAGATAAAGGTCAACAGAATTCAATGTGGGTTGGACTTGGATCTCTTGTGGCAACGCAAAGACTCTAAATTGATGATGTGTTTAACTCCACCCTTCAGCTCTGCCTGCTCTTCTTCTACACATATACAAAATAAGGCCACTGATTTATTAGGTCACCATAGTCAGTGCTGTCTGGCATTAGCTGTTAAAGATTTCACTCCAACTTCCCTCCCAGCCCTATTTGGAGATTGAACCAGATTTCTTTGTATCTATTCTACTATGAAATTATTGCTAAAAACAAGGCATCCTGTTGAAAATGATGTGGTTTTTATTCTATATCAAATTTTTATTTTAAAATATTTACAATAAATTAAAATGGAAAAAAAACATTAAAATGTGTAGTATGTTTAGAGTTACTATGTCAAATCAACAGGCTGAAGAGCTGAAGGCATAAGATAATAATTTAAAGTTTATTCTTTACACGTAGGTAAATTAATGTAGTAATTAAGCTACAACAAATTTTGCAACTTATTTTGAAAATAAAACATATTTTTGCTGCTAAACAGTTAATGGGCTATAGACACTGTGGCATTTAAAATAAATACACTGAAGTCGATAACAATGTATTTTACAGATTGATATTTCTTAAATGACTGCAAGATAACTTATTGCATCTTCCTAAATTAGCAGCAATAGCAGTTTTCTAGAGGGGACATAACAAAGGAAAAAAGAAAGCTGACTTCATTTGATCAGACCATTGGTTTCTAAAGCTGATTTCACCATGGGTTCTCTACCTTTTTGTTCTGGAACACATTTTAAAATATGAGAAACTATCATGCATCCCACCCATATACTGTGTTTTCCTGAAAATAAGACCTCCCCGGATAATAAACCCAATCGGGCTTTTGAGCGCATGCACTAAAATAAACCCTCCCTGAAAATATTTAAATGCATGCGCAGCCGGTCCCCGCCATTTCCTCTGGTTAGGGTTAGGGAGATAGAGCTGGAAATCAGGTAAGATAGCAAGAGGAGCCCCATCTTTTTATCAGGGACTTTTTATCAGCTTCGCCTGATCCGCCAGTTGCGGCCCTTCCTAGATCTGGATTCCTTGTGCATAGTCAGTCATGCCCTCGTCACCTCTCGCCTGGACTATGGCAATGCTCTCTACATGGGGCTCCCCCTGAAGAGCACCTGGAGACTTCAGCTGGTCCAGAACGCGGCCACGCGGGTAGTGACAGGAGCTACATGGCGCTCCCACATAACACCCCTCCTGCGTGAGCTGCACTGGCTCCCAGTGGTCTTTTGGGTGCGCTTCAAGGTGTTGGTCATCACCTTTAAAGCGCTCCATGGCATAGGACCTGGATACCTTCGAGACCGTCTGCTGCTGCCAACGACCTCCCACCAACCAGTGCACTCCCACAAAGAGGGGTCCTCAGGGTGCCATCGGCCAAGCAATGTAGACTGGTGGCCCCCAGGGGAAGGGCCTTCTCTGTGGGGGCACCTGCTCTCTGGAATCAACTGCCCCCAGAGATACGAAGAATTCAAGACCTCGGTGCCTTCTGCCGTGCCCTGAAGACCTTCCTTTTTCAGCAAGCCGGGCTAGCTTAATGCTTTTTAAATGTTTTTAATATGTTTTGTTATTGTTTTTTAACTTTGGGGCCAAATTTATATATTTCTTTTTAAACTGTTTTTAATGTTTGTATTCATGTTTTTTACTTTGGCTGTACACCGCCCTGAGTCCTTCGGGAGAAGGGCGGTCTATAAATTTAATAATAAATAAATAAATAATAAATCTTGCTCCACACGCCCCAAAATAATAACTCTCCCTGAAAATAACCCAAGCGCTTATTTTGGAGTTCAAAAAAAATGTAAGACAGGGCTTTATTTTTGGAAAAACATGGTAATTGGTCATGAAGTCCTCCCTAGTCACATAAACAAATCCCTCGCTCAAGAAACTCAGGTTAGTCAGAGCTTTCAAACCACTTTCTTGCTTTTGTAAAGCATTGAAAAATCATTTCCCTAAAATATCTCCAAAACCTAGTGGTTTTCAGAGAAACATTCATATCGAACAGTAACTTAAAATAAAATCACAGCAGTTTGGGGACATGGAGCAGTGGGGGAAGAGGGAGAAAGCAGAAGAACAGAAGCTTGTTTGATTTATCTGTTTCAATGGGGCTACTTCCAAGAGAGCAGGTTATGGCTTGCCTGTTTTGGATATAATGGAGAAACTTTTGAGTAACTTCCTTTCTCTAAAGAAATGTTGAATAATTTTTAAAAAGAAGACTGTTCCTCTCTGTATCAGGAAGGTGGACTGTTTCCAGCTTTCTTCGGGATGGTCTTCAAGGCATAAGGGCAGTCTTCAAGGGCAGTCTCATGTTGTTGTGGAATGGGAACCTTGACTCCGAAGACCATGCCACATTTTCAGTATATCTTTCATTATTTGATCAGTTGCATTTAAGACTGTTCTGTAAACTTTGATACTATATAGTCTATTTCCTAGAAACTATATATTCTAGGAAATAGAAAGTTCTTGAGAACATTCTTCTTTTGCCAGCAGTCAGCAGTGACATGGCAGCCTTTTAGCATTTGTTGTGATAATTTGGATGGGACTTCCAGATATCTGGCAATTTGTAACCATATTGTTATGATTGCTAAGTTATTATGAACTGAACATATATAATTGGTTCTCATACACAAATGTTATGTAGTACTTTAGAGTGAAAAAAATTCATACACAAGCAATCAAATGTGCTTAGTCCCATGGTGAATGGGTGAAACTTTTAGCTCTGAAAGTAAATAATAAAGTTGTAAATCCACATTTGTTTCTATATACTGTGTCTCCGGATGATGACGAATAATAAGTGGTAACACCTCAAGTAACATATCTAGTAACTCAAATGTGAGTAAATCCCTGCATTCTTAAATGAGTTATCTATTATCCTTAGATTATATGGATTCTTGAAGATATTGGCAGGATGTAGTTTACAAGTAATGTTTCAATTTACCATCTGAAAAGTATTCTTAAAAGGAATTTCCTTTTCTGTTCAACTAGAAAGTTGCTTGTTGAAAGGTTCATAGAGCTTGTTATACTGAAGTTCAGAATAATAATTTCAGATATGTTTAAGACACGCAGTGAAATTCAGACTATAGATGACCTGTTTCAAAAGTTATTAACTTTTGTTTATGCTTCTTTTTTTCCAAGCCTTGCTTTACATCCTGATCGAGTATTGGTAGCAACAGGTCAAGTTGGGAAAGAACCATATATCTGTGTTTGGGACACCTACACTGTACAGACTGTATCAGTAATGAAAGATGTTCATACACATGGCATAGCTTGCTTGGCATTTGATGTAGATGGTCAGGTATGTATATGTATTAATTATTCTGTTTAATGTCTGCATAATTTGGTGCAAATTCTACTGTATAGACTAGCTTTGGATGATACATTGAGATATTTAATTTTTAAAATAAATATAGAAGCATTCATAAACATGATGAGAACATTAAGGGTTATTTACATAGTTTAAAATGGTCTATCATTCTAATAATTAAATTGCATTATATAGCACATTACTGTGTAAATTCAGTTTTTGTAAAGCTAAAAGGAGTCCCTGTGGATTTTACTCCTCTAATTGTTGCCAATTATAAGCTCATCTCCATTTCAAGGCCATTGAGCCAACGCTGTCCGAAAACATTTCTACGGTCATGTGGCCAGCATGATATCATGAAGCACTATTAACTTCCCTCCTTGGTGCTATCTATTTATCTACTTGCATTTGCATACTTTCAAACTGATAGGTTGGCAGGAGCTGGGGTGAGGATGGGTGCTCATGCTGTCACATGGTGCTCAGGTCTCGAACTTTGGTTGCTGGTTTTCCAGCTGATAAGTCCAGTGTCTTAATTATTGAGCCACTGTGCCACCCAGCTTAGTTTTGTGAAATTCTGAATTTCACAATCAACTTCATAAATCTATAGAAAAACTAAGCTCCTAAAGTTGTCCTGAGGCTTCAGAAGAAAGACAGATCATGACAGTTAAAGGTAGTCTTCAGCTTATGATCAGTTGCTTACTGATTATTTGAAATTTTGATAGACTCCCAAAAGATGCTTACAACCTGCTTTCAAAGTTCCAATGGCCTCCCCCTTGCAGTCATATGACCGCATTTTGGGCACCCAGTGACTGAGCCACAGTTACAGCTGTTTGCAATGTCCTGTGATCACATGACAGTAATTTACAATGTTTTTGCTGAAAACCTTTGTTTAGTTCCATTTTTTGGCAGAAATGCTCCATAATGAACAATGGGTTCATTTAACAACTGTGATGTTCACTTAATGACTATGGTGACTTAATAATCACTGCAAAAAAAAGGTTGTAAATCAAGGGCTACCTATAGTCTCTAGTCAATGCTCTCTTACCTTAACGGAAATAATAAACATAAAAACATGTATTTCTAAGACTGCAAAATCTGCATTCATTCATATGTATGTAATACCTTGTTTCACAGAAATCAAACTCTCATTTCCCTCTCCCAAAAGCCACATGCAAATATTTTTATTTGTTTGTATACCACACATGGTTATTTATGGTCCATAACAGATTTAAGAAAATAACATTTGATTTTAGATATATTTTCCTGTTTTGCCATCTGGATTTAATTTAGGCAAGCATTATGATTCTCCACTGATATAATTTACACTGTAATTTCAAAGTGTTACTTTTAAAAGGCAATGTTTATTTTAAATAAATTGCTGAAACATACATAGTGTTATCCATATGGAAACACTATGGAAAATTTTCATTCATCTACCATTTCTGTTACTCCCATATGGCACTAGATATGAGGACAAATACCAGTTACTGGTTAATATTAGATATATTTAATACTAGCTGTACCCGGCCACGCGTTGCTGTGGCCCAGTCTGGTGCTTCCTCTGGGCTAAAAGAGCGAGGCTGAAGTTCCAAACTCTCTATGAACATTTGGTGGACGTGGCAAACTCGACGTCACTTACTTTCATCAATCACATGACAGCCCCCGAGCCACACCTACCCAGTTGGTGATTAGGGCAGAGAACCGGTTGCTAAAAAACAATGGGAACCACAAAATCCTCCCTTTCTGTCTCCCCCTCTCTCTTTGTATCTCTCTCTGTTTCTCTCTCTCCCCTATCTGTATCTCTCTATGTCTCTCTCTCTCCCCCCCCTCTGTATCTCTCTATGTGTGTCTCTCTCCCCGTCTCTGTATCTCTGTCTCTCTCTCCCCTCTCTGTATCTCTCTCTGTCTCTCTCTCCCCCCTCTGTATCACACTATGTATCTCTCTCCCCGCTCTGTATCTCTCTATGTCTCTCTCTCCCCCCTCTGTATCTCTCTGTGTCTCTCTCTCTCCCCCTCTCTCTGTATCTCTATGTCTCTCTCTCCCCCCTCTCTCTGTATCTCTCTCTGTCTCTCTCTCTCCCACCCTCTCTGTATCTCTCTCTGCCTCTCTCTCTCTCCCACCCTCTCTCTCTGTATCTCTCTCTGTCCCTCTTTCTCTCTCCCACCCTCTCTGTATCTCTTTCTGCCTCTCTCTCTCTCCCACCCTCTCTCTCTGTATCTCTGTATGTGTGTGTCTCTATCCCCCCTGTCTCTCTGTATTTCTCTATGTCTCTCTCTCCCTCTCTCTCTGTTTATCTCTGTCTCTGGCCCGGCCTCTTCTGCATCTCCCGCCATCGCCCTTACCTTTTCAGGCCAGGCCTTCGCAGCTCTCCGCACTACAGCAGAAACTCAGAGGTCCCTTCCGTCCTCCCTACACAGATGTTCTCTGGGGGCTCGACGGGGAGACGCATAGTAGGGAAGGGAAGGGAAGGGAGGGAGGGAGGGGATGTGGCAGGGTTTTGAGGCTGGTTTGGAGCTTCCCGCCCGAAGGAAGAAAGCGGCAAAGCCAGGAGCCATGCACACTCCACTGGACCCCTGCTGCGCAGTTCTCCTCCCCCGCCTGCCAAGAGCAGGGGAATGATTAAATCCCCCGTTCTTCGAGGTGAAACGAAGGAGGGCCGGCCATCCTCCCTTGTGCCCGTTTCCGCCTCTCGAAGCCTCCCTGGAGCCCTTTCTCTGCCAGAGGGCGAAATTTTCATGTAGGCTCCGTGAACTGCCAGAGTGCCCACCTGGGAATCAAAGGCAGCGCTGGTCAAAGGCGACCCTGAGGCTCCAGTTGCCTTCATCTCCCGCTCACCGACTGGATTCGCATAGCGCCAGTTAGCGGCTGGTCTTTCTGACCTCGGGGTCCATGGTAGCGCTGGGTCAGGTGCGGTTCGGGCCAAGTGAGGGACGGAGGGTTCCCCCTCAGCAGACCCAGTCAGCCTCGTTGCCAGGTGTTCTTTGGAGGGAGCCCCGAGAGCGGCCGGCGAGGGGGATAGGCAGCAGCGGTGGGCAAGGCTAGTTCGCAGGGGGGCTGGGGGCTTCCCGGTGGGGAGCCGGCTACCTACCTGCCGAGCCTGGTGGCAGGATATGGCCCTTGGGCGTCTCTGCCTTCCAAATGCGCAGTTTCTTGGAAGCAATATGGAGAGTCTAAATATAAGGAGCAGAAATCTGTTGAGCACAATCAGGGCTGGGAGGCTGCCATGTTGGTTTTACATCCAGCAGATGGCGCTGTTTTTCAATGTTTTCCAGTGTTTTTCCTGTTTTTACCTGTCACAGGTGTGACATGTATATAATATAGGTATATAAAAACACACCCGTAGTCGAATGCAACTTTGTGTCAAAATTTGAAAGCAATCGGTGAAGAACTTTCGGAGATGTGCGGTTATGTACAAACAGACATTTACATTTTTATTTATATAGATTAGAAAATATGCAGAAAACATGTCTATTGGTTTTACTCTGGAATTCTATGAATTTTATCTAATTTCTCTAAATGAAAAATTGAAGAACAAGGTTATGACACTTAAAATGCTAAATCCAAAATCTATAACTCCATTACTTCTGTCTTTAGTCAGGATGATTCTGTTTAAATGTAAGATGTAGACATACTAAAAAGCACCAAAACTCTCTCCAAACTTTTCCATTGTCGTTAAATTCTGAATTTATTTATTTATCTATTTTTATCTGTCTTCCAGACTGATTACCCACTTATAATTTTCTTCTTCACACTTTTTACTTTCTTTAGATTTTCCAATAGAACGTCTTTTTATAATGCATTTTGCCTTTATTGTCCTTTTTCTCTTGTCCTGTGTAAACTTTGTTACATTGCCTTTTAATCAGGGTCAATAATGTCAAAATGATGGATATGATAGCAAACAAGGATCTGACTTGTTTTAAGAGGCATCATGTGGTGGCCTAGAAATATTCTTAATAACCAATTAAAAAGGGGCGAGGCTTTGAACACTCAACTGCACCCACCATTTTGTTGACCACTCCAGTTTACTGTGAACCGTGTTTAAAGTAAATATTTTAAATTGAATCATGCATTAGCCACTGGTCTGATTTGAATACACCCTAACTGGTTTTAGACTCAGTCAGAGCTCCTCTGATATGATTGTAAACCCAGAAGAGAAGCTGATTTTGAAAGTATATCTATCATTAATCTCTAGTAGCAACCATTCAAGGTCTTCCACCTTTTTTCAGTCCAACACAAATTGAATGATACCAACATGAATAAAATTGGAGAAGGAAGTCTGTCAAATTTTAAACCCATAGAAGCAGTGGCTTATGTTCTAGGTATCTTTACATTTTGCTACTTAATACCGGTATAGAAAGTTAACATTTTTATTTCTTGGTGAAATTATACAAATGTTTATAAAGATTATCGCTGCTTGTAGGATGCAGTTTGGCAATGTTAATTATTAATAGGCTGAAAGGAGAAATGTGCAAGAATCTAAAACTTACTTAACTTCTGTGAGTTGATTACAGCTTGGGAGTCCAAAAGGCAAGGTGGTGGCTGTGTCCACTTTATTAAATTCCCACCCTTGTTAAAATTTATGTCATGCCTTTTTAATTCCCCCCCATGACTTTCTGTTTTGCTTATTTTGTCAGCAGCATTTATGAAAATGACATATGAAAATGCATATCTAAAAGTTCAGAAAGATAGTAGTAGTATTATTCCAGTAGAAATATAAAGTCTTCAACTTTGTGAGTAGAATGTAGATGATTCCAGTGGTGAGTTGCTCCTGGTTCAGTCTGGTTCTATAGAACCGGTAGTAAAATTGGTGGGAGGCTCCACCCACCCACCACAAGGTTATCATGGGTGATCTGCGCATGTGCAGAAGCACGTGCGCACTCCCGTTGTGAACCAGTCGTAAAGGTAAGTAGAACCCACCCCTGGATGATTCACTTCTTCCTCCTCTCATAGTTATTTGTTTATTTTGGAGATGGTAATTTGCATCAAAGTGGCATCCATCATAGACATGTAATTATGGTTAATTATATCTCCAAATCATTTCATTTCATAATTAAATTTATTGGGAGGTATAATTAATAAAAAATATGTAAGAGTCTCCCAGGACATGCTAAATTGATAGCAAGGTCATAGAATATTTAATAGGATATTTAGGGAAGATGAATGTACAGCAGAGAAGTAAAAGTTGAAGATTCAGCATTTTCCAAGTTGGCATACTATATTGCAACCCTTTATTTCCCCAAAAGAATCTAACAAAACTCTTTTAATATTTTTATTTCTAAAGAAGAAATAAAGGGCACTGAATTCTAGAAAAATCCTATATCAGTATTCCTTTCCTTGAACTTTGTGGTAGCATATTTGGGGTTTACGCCATTCAAACTGGAAGGCTCAATTACAAAACTGCATCTTTCTCAGCCTGGAGTATCTCTTATATGTGATAGAGTTTTAAGGAAAAATATGTAAATTTTGCAGATTACTTGTCTTCCTAGAAAATTCTCTCTCTCTCTCTCTCTCTCTCTCTGACAATTTTATAAGGTTCAAATCAGATTGGATTTCAGAAGAATGATTTGGGTACCTGCTGAAACTTCTGATTTGGGTACCTTCTGAATCTATTTAAATCAACTAGATTCGGTTCAATATTTAGTGAAATCCAAAGCCTGCCTCTAGTTAAAAACTTTGTAAAACGATGTTTTCAAAAGCTGCAGAAGAGGGAACCTAATTTATCACTAACATTTATTAGTATTAACAGTTAATACTATTAGTATTAGTTTGCCTTATAACTGCATTGAACCTTATAATACAACTTTCTTTTTTCCCCATTGTAAGGTGCTGAAGGTTATTCATCAATCTCCCCATTAAAAAACATGGCAAATGATTCTGAAAGGGGCAGAAGCAATATAACATTACTGAAGCTTCTCCATGTAGTTCTTTGGATTTTACCCTATCTCTTCAGAACTCTGTAATACATTATTTACTTTTAAAATGCTGTATTCTTGTTATTCTCTCCCCTCCCCCAAACTGAATCATTTAGAATGTATTAATGTTTTCTTTTATTGTCCTTTAATATTTTGGGAATTGTTAGCGTTTGCTTTCAGTTGGTTTGGATTCAAAGAATACAATCTGTGTCTGGGATTGGAGAAAAGGAAAAATGTTGTCCATGGCTCCTGGTCACACTGACAGAGTAGGTATAATTTTATTTACTCAGTGTATATTTTAAGAACCTTTTTCTATGTCTGGCAAGTTTGATACAACCAGTGGTGGGTTCCTCCCGGTTTGGCCCGGTTGGGCCGAGCTGGTAGCGGTGACGATATGACATCACCGAACCGGTTCTCTTTGTTCGAGAGCTGGGCCCTCCCGCCGCCCCTCCCCTCGCCACCCCCCTGTGTTATTCTTACCTTTTATTTGGCCCCACCCCCAATCTATTGCTGCCTCCCGAGTCCCAGCTGATCAGCTAGAAGGAAAAAAAACTGTTTAAACTCTTGCCGCGGGGTTTCAAAGGGCCGCCCTACAGCTGATCTGTGTTAAAAGGCAGTGTGGTGGTAGACCGGTGCTTCCAAAAACGAACGAGTAAACCGGTGCCTCCAAAAACAAATGGGTGGACTGGTGCCTCCAAAAACGAATGAGTAGACCGGTGCCTCCAAAAACAAATGGGTAGATTGGAGCCTCCCAAAACAAATGGGTCAACCGGTGCCTCCAAAAACGAATGAGTAGACTGGTACAGCTCTGCAAGCAGTTAAAAACCTGGTAGACCAGTACCTCTGCTAAATCCTAAGAATTGTCACATGACCATCAAGCCACGCTCACAAAATAAGCCATGCCCCCAGAACCGGTAGTAAAAATTTTTAGAACCTACCCCTGCTTGCAACCATTTTTAGTGGCACCACAAATAAGCGACAATGCATAGTAGTTTATACTTCTGATTCTATATAAGGCTTTTTACACATATTTACTTAGGAGGAAATTACAGTGAATTAAATATGGTTAGTATTATATTTATGTATCATATTTCTTGCAAAGAGCCTTGATTGGCTTTCATGATCATTTAAATTAGCAAGCTTATCTGTTTGTATTATAAATCTACAAATATATAAGAAGTTTAAGAAAACCTATTGGACAAAATAATTCCAGCAAAACTTTATCTAATTTTTAGATAAGGAGATGTGGATATATTTCTGTAAATATGTTTGCTTTTCTCTATAAATGTTATTTTCCTCTGTCCCCTGTTCAGATATTTGACATTTCTTGGGATTTGTACCAACCAAACAAACTTGTTAGCTGTGGTGTAAAACATATTAAGGTAAGAAAACATATATTTCAGTTCTGCTTCCATTTCATCACAACATATCTTTTCTACCCTTGTGTATTCTTTATTTTTAATTGTTTGGTCTTTTGAGGTGTTCTAGAAGCCCTCAGTCTTCTAGGAGTTGAGTGGTCTCCAAACGTAATGCTAAAAATAAATACAATAAACCTTTTTTTATATGTATAAGATAGGATACCTCAGGGATGAATTGAACATAGTTTTATTTAGAGTCGTAGTGGTCCAGTGGTTAGAATGCAGTATTGCAGGCTAATTCTGCCGACTGTCAGCAGTTTGATTCTCACTGGTTCAAGGTTGTCTCAGTCTTCCATCCTTCTGAAGTTGATAAAATGAGGACCCAGATTATTGGGGGCAATAGGCTGACTCTGTAAACCGTTTAGAGAGGGCTGTAAAGCACTTCGAAGCAGTATATAAGTCTAAGTGCTATTGCTATTTTTTCTTTATACAATTTATAGACTACCAATATATTCATTCATTCATTTATAAAATTTATAGATGGTTTATAATCATGCAGTGATGCAGAAATAAATTTAACTCCATGGCCCAGTTGTGGAAATGTTCTTTCCTGGACACTCCATCTTCTTGGCTACAGTATTTGGCACAAAATTATTTAAACTGAAATCTTATTAGTCAGCATAAGCAGTTTCATTCTTGTCAAAACAAAATAAAATTAATTGATAAAAGCTAAGTTATTTCCAATTGTTCTTTAACTGTGTTACACAACTGACACAAGCTGGAATCAATGCAACTAACTTGATTGTCCTAGAAGAAGCTGTTGGTAGTTTCTCATTTCTAGAAGTGAGAGGGGCTGAAGCACAGAGGTAATGCTTTTATGTGGCAATTCCTGCGGTTTGGAACAGCCTTCCAGCCAAGATCAGAAGGGTTCTCTCTGTCTATTCATTTCAGGAAATGCTGAAGATGGAGCTGTTCCAAAGAGCTTTTGTGAACTGAGCAGCTGTCATCAGGGTTTTTTTGTATTGTTGTTGGTCTTTGGTTTTCATTGAGTGATCATTATTAATTTATTGGTACACTATTAATATTTATTCTGGATGTTTTTGTTATGAACATTTTTGGTTAACAAGCTGGAGTGCTACCAGATTACAGTGATTATTGGTTGAATGAATAAATACATGACTATTTATAAGATTATATAGAAAATGCTATCCAATATTCATCAACACAATGCTTGATAGAGCAGAAATCACAACAGAATCAAAGCTTTTCTGAATGAAGTCATGTTTGCTGTCCATCCAAAATCAGGCAATGATTGTTTCTAAGGAGCCCTGGTAGCTCAGTGGTTAGAATGCAGTACTGAAAGCAAACTCTGCCCACAGCCTAGAGTTCGATCCTGACAGGGCTCAATTCAGTCTTCCATCCTTCCGAGGTCGGTAAAACAAAGACCCAGATTATTGGGCATATTATGCTGACTCTATAAACCTCCCAGAGAGTGCTGTAAAGCTCTATGGTGCAGTATATTAGTCTATATGCTATTGCTATTGCTAATATTAGTACTCCAGGAAGCCATTTCAAGTTTTGGATAACTACAACTGGAAAAAAAAATAGAAATATCCTGCATAATCAACTGTACAAGAAGAGAAAAGAGATCATCCACCACTCAGCATGCCATCTGGGGTATGGGGGTGGGGAACACACATGCACCAAGGAATAGGTCTTGTAAGGAAAAAAAAGAATATATAACAAGAAAATTAAGTTCTTGAACTTTCAGACAAGGTTTGAATTCTTTAGGAAAGTATTCAGTTACCAGACAGAAAGAGTTAATAAAATATGTTATTATTATCAAATCTGTATCTAGAACTATTTCCAAACTTTAAATATATTATAATCTATTCAGAGTAAGGTAATGTTTGATTTAAGAATATCACAACATATAATATATTAAATAATAGTAATTTATTAGCTTGAGCTTTAGTTTAAACTGTTGCTACGTAGTCTATTGGTTTAAAAAAATTGGGTCATTATGTGGATGCCTCAATTTACAACCATCATGACTTAACAATGGAATTTCTGGGCTCCATTACAATTGTAAGTGGAGGACTATGTGTATTGCATAAATATTTTCCAGGTTTCTTTTGTGAGTCATCTGTCTTTGTACTATGAAAGTTAATAAAATGCTGCAAAGCCAGAAATTTCATCAAAAAGAATAAGAATAAGAATAATTTTATTTCTATACCGCCCTTCTCCCAACATGGCATGTTCGGTGAGCAACTTATAGAGAAATAAGGAAGCAACAGTTCAATTGCATAGCTTGTCTTGAAAACTGAGCATTAAAACTATAATTGAAGTTAGAAAAGATCATTGACTAGGTCTGGATTGTAGTCAGCCACAAACACCTCTCCTGCACGAGCTGCACTGGCTCCCGGTGGTCTTCCGGGTGCGATTCAAGGTGTTGGTTACCACCTTTAAAGCGCTCCATGGCTTAGGACCTGGGTATGTACGAGATCGCCTTCTGCCACCGATAGCCTCCCACTGGCCAATACACTCCCACAGAGAGGGACTCCTCAGGGTGCCGCCCTCTGGAATGAACTGCCCCCGGAGATCCGCATGATCCCCGACTACATTTCGCCGTGCCCTTAAGACTCTTTTGTTCCAACAGGCCGAGCTGGCTTAGAAAATAAATTTTAATTGGGTGTCTGTAGTTTTTAACATAAGGGCCAAATTTTTATATATTTTAAATTGTTTTTAAAATTTTGGGTATATGTTTGTTTTAATAAGGCTGTACACCGCCCTGAGTCCTTCGGGAGAAGGGCAGTATAAAAGTTTAATAAATAAATAAATAATAAATAAATAAATAAATATTTTCACTTAGCTAGTTATTTCTAACAATTAACTCTCATTGATTCTTGCTAATGGTGGGAATCAAGATACCAAGTAGAAATGCATAGTTAATGTTGCAGGCTAGAGTTAATAAGAATGCAGCTTTAGCTATTTTTGTATACCAAAAACAAGCTGTAGTCCTTTCCCTTCCAGAAACAGACCACTGCATTATTTGGAAAGTCTTATTGTATATGGGAAGAAATGGAAGATTTTGTCATGTCAGATTTTATGCAATTTACAGAGGAAATATGGCAAAACTGTAACCAGTAGCTTTTCAGCATTCTTCACTGGAAGCTCTAGACTGCTGTCCTTATTAATCTAATTATTATTGACACTATATATATAGAAGTAGTATTTTATGATTTTAACTTATTTTAGAACATATTACAGAATTTATTAAAAGCATTTAAATAGGTATTTGTATCTCAATTTTTAAATAGGTCTGATTTTAAAAAAATTTAACTCTAACTTAATATCAGTTTTTTTTTAAAAAAAAATCATTTTAAACCCTTCAGATCAAAGAAGTGAATGGAGCACTCAATCTTTGCTTAGTCCAAAGTGCATTCCATAATGCATCTATATATTATTTTAAAGGCCAGATTCAACTTTCTTTATTAAGACAAGTACTTGTTCTTGCATAAGATTGTGGAGTCAATCATCCAATAAAAAAAAAAATTGCTAACAAACTTTTACAGAACGCATTGTCTATGATAAACTTTATTGTAGGCATGAGCAATTTTTAAATTAATTTTCTTAACCTTTTTAGCTTGTAATGAGCTTCTGAAAGTAGAACAAAAAACAGGACAATTTGGTGTGTCTCACTACAATGAGAAGGTTAAATATATGTTTTCTGTCTGATTTTATTATTTAAATATGTGAATAGTAAGTATATAATTTAGTTTAATTGTATACAATTAGTTTAGTTGCTATTGCTCTCTCATTTATATAATATACTGTTTCTCTGTTAGAGTTCTATCAAAGCTTATTCATTTTATAAAATGTATTAATTTTAGGTAATACCTTTAGGTCTGATTTATTTTTATTTTGTAAAGAATATTCTGTTAAAAATTTCTCAAATCTTAACTGAGCATCTTTGCTTTCTGCTTTAATTCCCACTCAGTTATTCATTTACTCTTACGTATCATACCTCAACAAAGTTGATCAGGCGCTGGTTAAGGTTTATTGGGAATGCATATTACTGCACATAGACAACCTGAAGTAAAAAATCTTCCATTGGGTCTCAGGATTCCATCTTCCATTAACCTTTCAGCATGGCCTGCATAATTTCACAGAATTTATTTCTGAGTTGATCCTTCCTTCTCTTGTATTATTTGTCAGTTTGTCTTTGAATGCAAACCCCAGGTTACAATGGAATGGAGTGTTCTTTCTGAATACTATTCTCTAGACTCCTTCCTGTTTTTTGGAATGGCTGATCTTCTGTTGCTATAAATTGATGCCCACCTTCCCAAGATACAAATAGTATCTCAAGTTAGTTATAAAAAAGTGTATCTGTATATTACAGACGACAGTCAAAGAATCATGAATTAGAAATTGGATGTTAAGGCCACTATCACAGTGCAGGAGTTAAAACATTCCTGTGAGACAGAGTTGTCTAGTCTTTGCTTGTCCACATCTCTGCTTTTCTTGGCAATACAGTATTTATGTTGTCAAATTGCTCTCATACTAAGCATCAGGACAAAGTCGGTTTCGTGCAAGTGACTTGTGATATGGGAAAAGTGGGGGCATATAATTCAGATGCATTGGCTGCTGAAACCTGAATGGAAGGAGGACATGTAGAAATGCTAACAGCCAGCCACCAGCTGTTGCAGATAGCCCTTGACTTACAACAATTGAGCCCAAAAATTCTGTTCCTAAGTGAGATAGTTAAATGAGTTTTGCTCCATTTTACGATCTTTCTTACCAAGTGAATCATTACAGTTTCTATGTTAATAACACAGCAGTTAAGTGAATTAGGCTTACCCATTGACTTTGCTGGTCAGAAAGTCGCTAATGGTGATCACCCTGGGTCACTGCAACTGTGATAAATATCAACCGGTTGCCAAGCATCCAAATTTTGATCGCATGACCATGACGATGCTGCAGTAGTCGTAAGTGTGTAACTTTTATCAGTGCTGTTGTAACTTTGAACGATCACTAAATGGTTGTAAGTCGAGGAATACCTGTATTATACGTTTCCCTTTCCAACTGAGGTTCATGAGACAAGGAAGGGAGAAAAGAAAGAAAAGGTTGCATAGAAACTCCTCAATATACCTGAGGCTCGTCCCTGAGCTAAACCAAAAAATATATCAAGACTACACATCTGCTCCTTCAAAGATTCAATTTTGTATAAATATACAAAAGGATGAAGGCTATTGCTGAGCACATTGTAAGCCACCCTGAGTCTTCGGAGAAGGGCAGCATATAAATCAAATTAAAAAAAAAAAATTCCATCCGTATAGATACCCAAATTCTAAATCCATGAGATGCCAATCTACTGTCAGGGTTCCAAGTAATACGCCCATAGCAAACAAAACTCCAAGGCAGGCAGGTTTCTCAAAGAATAGTTTTATTGGACATATCATATTGACACAGGCTGGTGAAAACCGACTCTGAATATTCCCGTGGTTTTCACCTAATCAAAAGTAAAAGTTTTTCCTCTTCCCCAAACAATCAGTCATATGGTCCAATCAAGATGCTGTCTGGTTGCCTGGTAATTTCACTCCTCCTCTCTCTGGCCACCTGTGGGAATGCCCTTGGTTCCCAGGAGAAAGTATTTTGTTTTGGCTACAAAACCCCAGCTATTTCTATGCTCACCTCCCTATCCCTCAGCTCCAGTGTGGCAATACTGAAGCCTGAAAATGGCCTTGGTCAAGTCAGCTTCAGGTTTGACATCCACATTACTCTGAATTATTAAATTATTGACTTTCACGCAGCCTGTAGTTTATCATTGAATTTTGATGACAAGAAAAATTAGACCAGGATGAATATTGGCAGCCTCCAGTTTGAAACCCCTGATGCTTTTATTTAGTACCTTTGAAAAAGTATCTGTGCTCTCTGGTATACAGAGCATAACTATATCCTTCTCTGCCCTTCCTGGATAAAATGTATGTCCACAAAGGACCAGATCTAATTTATTTTCTCCATTTCATCAAATTTCCATTATAATGATGTCCTTTTTAAAAAATGAAGTATTTCAGCCTTGCTTCTGATGTGGTTTGGAGATGCTTAACATTTCCATTGGAAAACATTTTTTCAGGGGTTCTAGCCTATATGTATCTTTTTCTGTGGGCCATTGGGCTTTTTGATTAATTGTGGTTTTTGTATATGCTTATAATTATTTCTGTTCTATCCTTTGGCTATTTTTGTCTGAATCAGATATTTTTTAGCTGGTGTCAACTTTTCACATATTGCATGGCAAGCTGTTGAGCAAACAAGCTGTCAATCAAATCAGCAGCAGCATACAAATACTGTAAACAAATCAAATAATTTAAATGAAAAAGCTAGTAACTCACATTAGAATAAAACATCAAGCCAATATTCATATATGTAGTTCAAGCAAATGACATATCAAGCAGCTTCAGAATTAAAAAGAGACCAAGTCAAGGACTAGGATATTAGTAAACTAGGTTAGGTAAAAAAATGTAGCCCAAGCAGAAGTTCATGAGATATTATTTTCTGTATGGGCCACTTAGATTTGAGGGTTTATTAATTCAGATTGGCTTGGAGCTCACTTGTGAACCAGTTGCTAGTTCTTAACATTTTTTAAAAAAAAACCTTACACAAAGAACATCAGTCTTTTAGTTGTCATAGTCTAGGAAAGTTCCTTCAAATTCCCAAATATGAACCAAACATAGGCTTATGTTTGCCAAGCCCCTATTTGTTTCTGAGATGAGACATGCCTACAGTATGTAGAATTATTCAACCTTGCCTCTTAAGGACTCAGAGAATATGTAAAATGTAAAAGATCTACTAATGTTATTTATATTAATTTATTAATATATAAGGGGACACAGTGGACTAATGGTTAAGACACTGGGCTTGTTAACCAGAAAGTTGACAGTTTGAGACCCAAATACTATGTGATGAGATGCGCTCCCATTCTTGTCCCAGCTCCTGCCAATCTGGCAATTTGAAAGCATATAAATCCAAGTCGATAAATAGGTACCATTTTGGGTGGAAGGTAACAGCATTCTGTATGCCTCAGTGTATAGTCATGCTGACCACAGAAAGGTCTTCAGCAAAGGTCCCTCGGCTATGAAATGGAGATGGGTACTGCCCCTAGAGTCAGACACCACTTTTTAATATTAATTTTGCATTGTTTGTACGATGTGTTCTGTATTGTTCACAGATATACATATGTTTCTTGCAAGATCACTTTAGATTTCAGTAGATTCACTGATACCAGTGGAACGTCTAATCCCATTGATTTAAGTGGCTCATCCTGCAATATATGTAAATCTGGATTTACTATATAGACTTAAGAATAAATAATAGTGAATTCAGCAGTATTCTCTCTCAGAGAAATAGGCATAACATTAAGTTCTGCATATTCTTTTATGTGGTTTGAGGAAATGGAAAACAAAATGTGAATGCTGTTTTACTAGAAATGTGCAGTTATAATAAAACAACTCTGTTTCTTGATTTCATCTCTCTCATGTAATATATGTGATTATATCAGCATACTTCCATATTTCCTATCTCTCTATAGAACAAAAATGACACTGAAGTGCATTGGCATCATATTGTAAGCTTTTATTTACTTAAATATATGACAGTGGAAGAAAAAAGTTAAAATTTGGAGCTTTGTGCCTTGGCAGCCATCCATCTTAAAAGTTTGTGTTTTAGTGGCTTAAAATACTCTTATGAATAATGTTACTAAAGCAAATAACTTTTATGTTACAGTTCTGGAGTCTGTGTGGAAATTCATTGACACCAAAGCGTGGTGTATTTGGTAAGACTGGTGATCTCCAAACTATTTTGTGCCTCGCCTGTGCAAGAGATGAAATAACATATTCTGGTGCACTTAATGGAGATATTTATGTATGGAAAGGAATCAACCTTATACGAACCATACAAGGAGCACATGCCGTAAGTAGAATTTTGATATGGCAATCTTTATTTTTCCTTTAGTTTAAAAAATATTTAGTTTAAAAAAACAGGCAGGGAAAACACTGGTTTGTAAATGGATTGCAGTAAAATATGTACTTTTAATACTTTAAAAATATGTTTTATCTTGCCTTTATTATTTCCATAACTAACTCAAGGCAGTGAACATATCTAATACTCCTTCATCTTCCCCATGACAAAACTCTATGAGATAGGTTCAGCTGAGAAAGAGTGACTGGCCCAAAATCTGCCAGCTGGTTTCTATACTTAAGGCAGGACTAGAATTCACAGTTTCTTGGCGTAGCCTGGTACCTTAACCACTAGACCAAAATGGCTTTTAATTTGTTAACAGCCAGAGTTGCTTGGCAATTTATTTATAAATTATGTAAATATCTAAACAGACTTGAAGCAGTTTATGATTTTGATTTTTTTTAATCATTTAGAATTAAATAACAGCATTTTTTGCTTCTGTTAACGCCTTATGTAAACTCTCTTGCACACATAATTATAATAAAGCTTGATGAATATTCATCTCCAAATTTAGCATACAATACAAAAGAAACCCAAATACTATCTATAGAAAGGAGAAATATGATTATAGACCAAGTTCATTATGTGACATACAGGAGAAACAGCTGCTGGTTTCTTTCACTGGACAAGCCAAAGGATGTTTCCCTGCTAAAGAAATGGTATCTCTGCTTTGCTGCCCATGTTGCATTGATTCTTCACTGAGTCTTGCCAGAACTCCAAGCCTTCCTGAAGAGAAGAGGGGCTTGATAGCCAAGCAGATGGCAGAGAAGGGAGAGCAGCAACTTGATGTTATCCCACTGTCAGGTCCACAGATGCCCTCACTTTGCACAGATTCTGTGCAGCAGTACTCCAAATTCATTGGATGATGACCTAAGTTATAAACAAGACATAATGATCATCCAGTTCGCCACTTTAGAGTGCTTTGTAACTTGAAAGATATAATCTTCCACAAACTATTTTTTTCAACTTCTCTGTACCCCTATAATGTTCCTACTCCTTCCTTTAGATCAGGGGTGTAAAACTCGATTTCATTGAGGGCCGCATCAGGGATGTATTCGGAGGGGCCGGGGTGATGGTGGCCAGAGTTGGCCGTGGTCATGGTGGGCGTGGCCGGGTGAGTGTGGCCATGGTGGGCATTTGACACAGGCTCAAGATGCATTTTTTCTCTTCTCGTCTTTTATTCCACAGTTCTTTACTATAACCATTTTCCTATCTCTTCTAACAGATATTACTGGCAAACATTTATTACTTATTCTTCATATTCTACTAAACTTTTTATTTCTAAATTTATACCCCATTGTTTAATAGTAAATTGCTTTTCCAGGCAGAAAAACTATTTATACTATTGTATATTTATTATTCAACTAATAATAAAAATACAATAACATAAATAACATGATAATACAAGATCTAACAGCAGAGGTAAATTTCCAGAATAGTAAATAGAAATGTCTGTCAATTATAGATACAAAATAGAATACAGAATATAGAATACAGAATAGATTGTTGATTGTAGATTAAATAGACCTACAGTATGTAAAATCTGGCATTAAACTGTAGTATTAACATAGGATGTTGCTTGTTTTCTATCCAGGTCAGGCACTTACTTGAGGCCACATAATTGTAATCCAGTCCAAGGCAGGCCTGCTTCAGCACTCTGCCGGCTGAAAACTGGCTGTGCGGAGGCCCCAGACAGCCACCGTGTGGCCCTTTTTCGGCCTCCACATCTGTAGCACTCTGCTGGCCGAAAAGACCACACGGAAGCCACACGCAGCCCCCGTGTAGCCCGTTTTTGGCCTCCACGACCTCCTACAGCACTCTCCTGGCCAAAAATTGGCCATGTGGAGGCCCTGGGTGGTGCCCCTGCAGCTCGTTTTTGGGCTCCACGGCCTCCTGCAACACTCTACCAGCTGAAAATGGGCCACGCGGAAGCCCTGGGTGCCCCCATGCAGTCTATTTTTGGCCTCCACAGCCTTATCTGCCCCCCCCGGCCCATTTTGGCTGGCAGAGGCACTGCAGGCTGGTCCTTTGATATTTCCAGCCTGGCCCCACGGGCCAGATCTAAGCATCCTGTGGGCTGGATCTGGCCCGTGGGCCTTGAGTTTGACACCCCTGCTGTAGATTCTTGCTCTTTATATATATATGGTTAGTTTTTAATTCATATCTTTTATCTCTCATTGCTTTTCATATTTTATTTTAGATTTTTAATTTTGATTCTTTATACTTTTCTAATTAATGTACTCAAGTTACTTATGCTGGGCTTTGACCATTATAAAAATTCTACTTTTATTTGATCTGATTTGTCAGCTCAAAATATAACCCTATTCCTGTGATGGCAAACCTATGGCACGCGTGCCACAGGTGGCACGCAGAGCCATATCGGTGGGCATGCAAGCTCAGCTCTGGTGCACATGCGCACACTGGTCAGCTGATTTTTGGGCCTTCTGGGCCCACTGGAAGTCGGCAAACAGGCTGTTCCGGCCTCCTGAGGGCCTCTGGGGGGGTGTGGAAGGCAGTTTTTGCCCTCCCCAGGCTCCTAGAAAGGGTCTGGAGCCTGGGGAGGGCGAAAAACGGGCCTACCGTGCCATCACATGCCAAAAGCGGGGGAAGCGTGGGGGGGGTCACGCACAGATATGTGGGGGCGGGGTGCATAGAATTATGGGTGTGGGCATGCATGCGCCCGCTCCCCCCCCCCGCTCCCCCCACTTTTGGCACGCGATGGCAAAAAGGTTAGCCATCACTGCCCTATTCACTTTTGTCAAAGGAAACTGAGAGTATATGCAAATATATTTAAGGTATTATAATTTTGGAAGCTGGAATGTTAAATGTGATATAAGAACAAAAGCTTTTCAATAAGACATAAACTTTCAAACACTCAAGTGCATCTTTTTAACTAATTGTTTAAATTAATGGTTAAATTAATAATTTAATATGTGCTCTAGTACATGTTCTGAGAGAGTTTGCTGCTATATTATGCTTCTTATGGTCCTTTGTGGATGTATGGGTTGTCATAACTTAAAATGTAGATTGTTTATATTTGAAATCATTCATATTTTCTTGTGGTTGTGATACAGTTGCATTATCTGCAGTTTGTTTTTCCCTCAACATTGCTGTTTCTGAGCTGTCATGCAATTTTATATGTTTTTGCATGGGACATAACATTTTGGGACAGTTCCTTAATTATCAAATTAGCCCTGATAATGCTGTTCTCAATAAGGACATTTTTGGTTGCTTCTAAATGATTTTGCAGTTGGCCCAGAGGAACAGCTCTTCTCAAGAAGTGCATTGTTGAACTTGTAGTGTTAGATATACTACAAAAAAGGACTGTCCTCTAGCAATAATTTTACATACTATGTGAAAGATAATTTGATTATAATAGTTTTCACTTAGGAATACCTGCGTTGCTAGTACATAAAATCTATTATCTACATATAAAGAGCTCATGCAAGTTGTAATTAGTTGATCTGTGATTAATTTCTCTGTCTAGTTATTGTAACTAGAAATTTTTTTTAAAAAATTGAGCTACTGTATATGACACTAAAACAATTGGTTTAATATTAACTTAAATGAAACAGATATGATAATAGAAAGTGCTACTAAAAAGACATACTTGCATATTTTTATTTTGGTTAGTTGATTATTAAAGAATTATGGAAAGCTGTCAATGCAATTATGTAATGCAATTGCATTCAAGGAAGGATTTTCCAGAAATACCAACATGCATATAATTGTTAATTTCTATTTTAAGATATAATATCTCTTATTAGTTTAGTTATTCTGAAACATAATAAACAAAAAAACATTTATCTTATTTGAATAATCATGTTCCTTGATGTGAAAGTGACTCTACTTTTTAGATGCAACCTCTAATTAAATATGTGGGCTTTTTTCTCTGCTAGGCAGGAATTTTCAGCATGAATGCATGTGAAGAAGGCTTTGCCACTGGTGGCAGGGATGGCTGCATTCGCCTTTGGGATTTAAATTTTAAACCCATTACTGCGATTGATCTCAGGGAAACCGACCAGGGGTATAAAGGTAAAAAAAAGAAAAAAAAGAAGGATTATTTTAATCAGTTTATTTAAGAGATAATTTTTCTTAAGTGTGAAGTAGAAAAAAACCAAAAACATGTTCCTACCTAGTAAATCAGATCGTGTTCCAAATAAATAACTTTCAGAGCTGGAGTTGGGCAGCAGAGTAGTGGCCCTTTTTCATCAATAGATAGTTCTACTGGTTGTTCTTTGCACTCTGTTGGTGATAGAATAATGTTTCCTAGCCCTGATTATAGTCAGCATCGAGTGTGAGCATGTGAGATTAGTGCCGCCACGTGTTTATTGGACCCGTGTCCCTCCTGGTTGGTACTGGCCTCCCGGGAGGTTACACGAAGCTGGCTCCAGGGGGTTATAAGTGCTTCTTTGAGTGAGGGTGTCTTTCCCGCCGCCTTGAAAGAGGCCCCTCCTCAAGAAGCCTTCCCTGGACCCGGCTGAATTGGCTAACTACCGTCCGGTCTCCAACCTTCGTTTTGTGGCGAAGGTTGTTGACAGTGTGGTGGCACGACAGCTTCCCCGGCACCTGGATGAAGCTATCTATCTGGACCCGTACCAGTCGGCCTTCAGGCAGGGGTACAGCACAGAAACGGCATTGGTCACGTTGGTGGATGATCTCTGGAGGGCTCGGGACAGGGGTTGCTCCTCTGTCCTGGTCCTATTAGATCTCTCAGCGGCTTCTGATACCATCGACCATGGTATCATGCTGCAGAGGTTGAGGGGGTTAGGAATAGGGGGCACCGTTCTGCGGTGGTTCTCCTTCTTCTCCGACCGTTCACAGTTTGTGTTGGCAGGGGGGCAGAGGTCGACCTCGAGGTACCTCGCATGGGGAGTGCCGCAAGGGTCGGTCCTCTCGCCCCTTCTGTTCATTTATGTGAAGCCGCTGGGTGAGATCATCCGTGGTTTTGGGGTGAGAGTCCATCAGTATGCTGATGACACTCAGCTGTACATCTCCACCCCAGACCACCCCAACGATGCCCGTAATGTGATGTCTCGCTGCCTGGAGGCCGTGCGGGTCTGGATGGGGAGAAATAGGCTCAGACTCAACCCTTCCAAGACCAAGTGGCTGTGGCTTCCGGTGTCCCAATATAGTCAGCTGGTGCCATCGCTGACTATTGGGGGTGAATCTCTGCCCCCCACAGAGAGGGCTCGCAATCTGGGCGTCCTCCTGGATGCACAGCTTTCTTTAGAAGAGCATATGACGGCCGTGGCCAGGGGGGCTTTTTATCAGGTTCGCCTGATTCGCCAGTTGCAGCCCTTTCTGGACTGGGACACCTTGCGTACGGTCACTCACGCCCTTGTCACCTCCCGGCTGGACTATTGTAATGCTCTCTACATGGGGCTCCCCTTGAAGAGCACTCGGAGGCTCCACCTGGTCCAGAATGCAGCCACGTGGGTGGTTATGGGTGCAACCTGTTGTGCCCACGTGACACCCCTCCTGCACGAGCTGCACTGGCTCCCAGTGGTCTTCCGGGTGTGATTCAAGGTGTTGGTCACCACCTTTAAAGCGCTCCATGGCATAGGACCCGGGTACCTTTGAGACCGACTTCTGCCACCAACAGCCTCCCACTGGCCAGTTCGCTCCCATAGAGAGGGTCTCCTCAGGATGCCATCAGCCAAGTTATGTCGGTTGGCGACACCCAGCGGGAGGGCCTTCTCTGTGGGAGCCCCTGCCCTGTGGAATGAACTGCCCCTGGAAATGTGTAAGATCTCCGACCTCCGTGTATTTCGCTGTGCCCTCAAGACCCTGCTGTTCCGCCAAGCCGGGCTATCAATGGAATGATTTTTTTAAAATTGGGTGTTTTAAATTTTTGGGGTTTTAAATCTGAGCTGAAATTATGTAATAATTTTAATTATTTTTAACTGATGTTTGTCTTGTGTTTTTAATAGGCTGTACACCGCCCTGAGTCCTTCAGGAGAAGGGCGTTATAGAAATTTATTTATTTATTTATTTATTTATTTATTTATTTATTTATTTATTTAAATCCATATATAATTTAGATTTAAGCTTTGTTTTGCCAAGCTGGGAAAGCATCTGGGATAATAAGACTGTGATATATTTCATGCATGAAATGGTTTTGCCACTTGTGTTTAAATCAATGTAGTTATAGTTTTGCTCATATTTTCAGTCTGCCTCTACTTATCCTCCCCCTCTGATGTTCTTTAAAACTATTATACTGCAATACTGCTGTTACTGAGTCATAACAATACATGCTTACTAATGCTTTTAATCACTGAGAAACTGTGGAGGTATGATAATTGGAATATGAAGAAAATCATGAAGGGAACATTCTGTTTGATGGATTATGACTTTGGTACAATTAAGCTAATTACATAAGGCAAATCCTCAATAGGATTCTCATTAGAAGTCTGCCAAAATATTTCTACCAGGTTTAGCGTTTTGACAGAAGGCTGCGATAATGTACATGATTGTAATGAAATTTAGGTTTAAACAGATATCAAATATGCATCCTTTTATAATTTAACAAGCTACTTGGAGTAAAAACAAATTAATGTAACTTTGCTCAATCATTTTGAGCAGTGGTGAAATGTAAAATTTGTTACTACTGGTTCTGTGGGCGTGGCTTGGTGTGTGTGTGTGTGTAATGTGACTGGGTGGGCGTGGCCAACTTTTTAACTTTTAAAAGCATTTTTTTGGCCGAAGAAAAAAATGCTTTTAAAAGCCTCTGACGATCAGGCAACTCAGCTGGGATCGTTAGAGGCTTTTAAAAGCATTTTTTTTCCCTACAAAGAGGTTGTAGAAAAAAAAATGCTTTTAAAAGCCTCTGATGATCCCAGCTGAGCCGCGCGATCATCAGAGACTTTTTTTTTACTTTTCAAAGCATTTGTTTGGTCAAAGAGGTTGTAGAAAAAATGCTTTTAAAAGTAAAAAAACAGCCTCTGATGATTGCGCAGATCAGCTGGGCATGGGCGGGGTGATGGTGGTGCAGGGATTTTTGCTACCGGTTCTCCGAACCACCCACCGCCATCACTACCGGATCGGGCGATCCGATCTGAACTGGGAGCATTTCACTCCTGTTTTTGAGCATATCTCACAAATTTGAAAAAAAAATATTTTCTTTCTTTTTTTTCTTTCTTTCTTTTTTTCTTCTGTAGGAAAAGCCATTTAGTAATCCAAGCTGGCTGCCAGTCTACATTCTTTAGTTCAACTTAGACTTCCTTCTTCATACCTATTGATGCTGCTCTATTTTGTTGTATCTTTAATTTCCTCTCTCAGTTTTCTTCTATTGAGTATTGAAACATTTTGCAGACAGATTTTAGAGTCTAAATTATAGCCTATGAATGGGAATATCTGGACTGATCACTTTGGACATATTGTTAAATGAGCAAATTTATTCTTCAAACATGTAGGAGTTTAGCTAAAACAAGGCTTCATAGGTTACACACATATGTACTATATTTAGGAATTATTTCTGTTGAACTTTGTAGAAGTTGAGTGACCTCTAACTTGTTCATACAGTATATACATAACATCAGTAGTGGGTTCCAGTTACCTTTGCTACTGGTCCAGAAATGGGAGCGTGCATGTGTGCGTGCTTGCTTTGTTGGAATGCGGCGCTTCTGCGCATGTTTAGAACCTTCTGCGTATGCACAGAGCATCCGTGATGACATCTGGGCAGGTGGGCAGAGCCTCCCGCCACCGCCACTACCGGTTTGCCCAATATAACATAACATCTTACAGAGAAAGGTCGATATTGGTGTTAAGGCTGGAGCCATTTAAAAAATAAATTGGAAGAAGTAGTAGGACCCTGCACAAGCACAAGAATTTGGGGGGGGGGAGGAAGTCACATGATTTAAAAAGTTGCATTAACTTTACTGAGTACATTCTTTAAAGTAGCACCATCTTTTCTTTAAGTGTATGGCAGACTGATAAAAGGCAAACTGCTTGGATGAAAAGCAAGTTTTGAGACACATGCACAGCTGTAATACATTTGTGCATGCTATATTTGTTATAGATAAAATCTCTCTTTGGGGTTAATCATTACGTGTAATTTAATTAGTGTTCTGCTATCTTGAATAGCAATTTTGAGGATCTAATAGTAATTACACTGAGTATGAAACCTGTGCTTGAACAATTGTTTTACTTCTTCCTAGGTCTGTCAGTAAGGAGTGTTTGTTGGCGAGGAGATCACATTCTAGTTGGAACACAGGACAGTGAAATTTTTGAAATTGTGGTGCATGAACGCAATAAGCCTTTTCTTATTATGCAAGGACACTGTGAAGGAGAGCTTTGGGCCCTGGCAGTTCATCCTACAAAACCATTAGCCGTAACTGGGAGTGATGATCGATCAGTTAGGTTAGCTTCATGGATTTCTAAAAAGATACAAGATTCTATAAAGTGTTATTTGAATTCTAAAATACAAACTAATTATATAAATCATTATACATTATACAGTTATTATACAAATTACTGCCCAGTAAAATTATTGCTTTATTGTAAAATCGGCTTTTGATGCCACAACGTGACTATTAAACCTTTTGGAACTGAATGCTCATAAAATAAGGTGAAATTTATGTCAGTGTTCCTATATTGTACATGTTTAACAGACTGAATCAGATATGGGCGTGTGCCATATATCTTCCTTTTCTTTCCAGTGGCTCACCCACGTTCATTCCTTATCAGGTTAATTCTTTGCATGAATTGTACCTGGTTGTGCATAACTTGTAAATGTATTATACAGCTGGCTCACTAGTAAGTGGAATAATTAGATAATTGCTACTTGACATGGCAGATAGATTTTCAATATGTGGTAATAATAGCATACCTTTTAATATAATTTTTATTGCTTTTAAATGAGAACAGAAAAGGAAAAAAGGAAAAGAAACAAAATATAGACACATACACTATCAAAAAGTATATAACAAGTGCTTAAGAATTAGCAAAAAAACCCCACCACAACAGAAAATTATAGTATGACAGCAAACAGTTGCAAGGACTAATGTTTTTAGAGCGGTAATAATAGTATACCTAATTTGAACTGAGTAAAAATTGATGTGCAGTCAGACATAGCAATTAGATAATAACCATACAGCCAGAGAGCTATGCACTACAGCAGGGATCCCCAACCCCGCAGTCTCGGCCACAGCCCATTCAGAATCAGGCCGCAGAAGTGGGCAAGTGCACACGCACACATGCGTGAAGCTACATTTGTGAAAGCAACGCACTTGTGAAACAATCCCTCTCCCGCCACCCCACTTCACCACTACCGCCACCTAAGCTGGTTGGGGATCACTGCACTTCAGTACTCAAATATATTTTGAGATGATGGGAATAAACTTTCAATATCAGTCTGATTTAGAAGACAAAGAAGAAAAATTATCTGCTTGTAAAGGGAAAATCAGTTCTGTTTTCTGCTGCAAAGGCAATAATATATTGTTTGCATGAAATACATTTCTTATAGAATATGGAGCCTTATAGATCATGCCCTAATTGCACGGTGTAACATGGAAGAACCCATTCGTTGTGCAGCTGTTAGCACTGATGGAATTCATCTTGCTCTTGGAATGAAAGATGGTTCTTTTACAGTACTTCGTGTTAGGTAGGTTATGCTTTTGGAGCTTTTAACATAAAATAAACTTTGCTTTCCCCAATGAATAGTAATTTTCTTAATCCCTGCTGGCTAGCTGCATGACATAAGTAGTACATCCTTTTTTTCCCCATTTGTACTCATTTTTAATGCAATTGCTTAAAATGCCCATACTGTATGTGCCACTGTGGAATGTAGAATGTATATATATATACCCAGAACCGAGTAGATGTGATTCTACTGAGCTGGAGCTACAAAAAACCTTGGTTATGTAGGGAAAACCTGGCTAGAAGAAACACACACACACACACACACACACACACACACACACACATTGCAGAAAGTTGTTTTCTGTAATCTTGATTAGTAAGAATTTTATTTTATTTTTCTTCAAGATCATCACTTTTATACTTTAATCTGATTGTTTCATTTACTTTATTTTTAAACTATCCAGTAGTCAAAGATTTTAGGGTTATAGTAAGCATGTGTGCATACTGCACATGTGCACATGCATGCACACACATGTGAAGAAGTAATCCAGTTCAACAAAAGATATACAGTAAAACCAAATAAAATGCAAGATAAAAACACTATACAAACTAGGCAGCAGCAAGACAAATAATTAATATCTTAGGACAATATGAATTAATACACCGTTCATATATGATTAAAATACTATTAAACATCAGTCAAACCTTCGTGGGGAGGGCATTTCAAAAATACTCAGATCAGTAAGTATAGTTGTTTAGAATTCATGGCAGGCTTTTATATTTTTCTACTTAGGTGAAAGGCTTAATGAGTGTTTACTGTATATGGGGAATAAGGAACATAAGAACTGCTGTACTGGATCATGCACAACCTTTTAATCCAACTTTCTATGTTACACAAAGGCCAACTAGAAGTGTAAGGAAGCTCACAAAAGTGGATTGAAAGGTGATATAACTGCTTTCATTGTCACTTCATGAAAGCTAATACTTAAGGCATCCTGCTTATGATTTAGGAAATAACAAAAAACTATAAAAAATATCCCGGAAGTCAATGGCCATCTATTTCCACATTATTGCAGTACATAAATATATCCATGAGGTAACAGAGATTCAACAGAGATTAATCTTTTTAAATGTAGCTTTAATCAATATTATCTATTTTCTGTGTTACAGAGATATGACAGAAGTTGTTCACATTAAGGATAGGAAGGAAGCTATTCATGAATTAAAATATTCACCAGATGGAAATTTCCTTGCAGTTGGCTCCAATGACAGCTCTGTTGACATTTATGGTGTTATTCAACGATATAAAAAGGTTGGAGAATGTGTTGGATCCTCAAGTTTTATAACCCATATGGACTGGTCTTTAGACAGTAAATATTTGCAAACCAATGATGGTAGTGGAAAACGTCTTTTTTATAGAATGCCTGGTGAGATATTTTACTACTGTTATATAATCCAAGAGAAAAAGAAGTGAATTGTGTGTTGAGCTGCCTAATATGCCATATTTCTAGTGAAATATTCATAGGAACTGTAGTGATTATTGCTCTAACAACTCTCATCAAGCTTAACCCTATTTGAGAATAACAAATATAAAAGCATAAATCACTCAGTTTACTGGCTAACTTTATGATTAGCTGTGTTCAAAAAGTATGCTAAACTTTAAACATGTGTTAACAAAACAAAATTCCTGCACTTGAACTGAAACTCAAATAGGCTGGAGGTAGCATACATTTTGGAATACCTTAGAGTACAATATTGCATAAGTATTTCTTGGGAATAAGTATATTGGCATCTACTTCCAATTCAATTAATATTAAGCTTACACAGTTTTAGTTGTTCTTTCTTCCTGTTTAACAGTGTTTTTAATATTGTTAACTATCTTTAACAAATGTGCTATTTACTGTTTCTTCTTTCAGTGTTCTCTCTATAAAGAGAAAGAAGATCCTTTTCTCAGCCTGGTTAAAACTTCATTAAGACTCTTCATGTGAAATAAACCAATTCTGAAATTCAGAATTTACTTAAAAGTAATTATTTTTTTATAATTGACAAGCATCATTAAGTAGGTATCTTTTTCTGTTTAGGTGGAAAAGAAGTGATGAATAAAGAAGAGTTAAAGGGCATCCAGTGGGCTTCATGGACTTCAGTTTCAGGCCTTGAAGTTAACGGAATATGGCCTAAATATTCAGAGATCAATGATATAAATTCTGTTGATGCAAATTTTGTTGGTCAGGTTCTTGTTACAGCTGATGATTATGGAACAGTAAAACTCTTTCGGTATCCATGTATAAGAAAAGGTAACATTTTTTTGTAAAGTACTTCTAATGGAAATAAGTTTTATAAGGTAGTAAACCAAAGTTATGTCTTTTCAAGAGATCAGTTCTGACAAAAAGAAATATGGGCTGGTGGGAAGGAGATAGATAAGGCATTGTCACTTGTGTCAGCTGAAACACACACATCCATAAAAGATACAGGTTTCACAACGTGTTAGATCAGGGTGATACTCCTAAACATTGGATCCAGTTGGAGCTTAAAATAAATTCCCTTACAAGGCTCAGAGAGGTTTGGATGCAGCACAGACTCAATCAACCTAATGTAACCTTTGTGGCTCATTTACTAAGGAATTTAATTGTTAAACTAGCCACAGATTGATTGGAAATATGCAAATCTCTCTGATAATAGGTTGTATCATTTTTAGACTTCAGTATTTCTTGGGATTCTATAGTATTTATTCATTTAAGTTAATTGCCCACCCCCCAACTTCAGTGGACCATATTAAGACTTATATGCTTAAAATGAAAGAAAGAAAAAGAGACTGATTGTTAAGATTTATTCAAATTTAAAGAAACTAAAAGCCAATCCAAAAGTAATAATTCCGTTATAAGTCATGTAACCTTAATAAAGAGGGAAAAATATGTTCCTGATATAGAGACTAGTAATTCTTGTCACACAGTGATGAGCTTTCAGAGTGCCCAGAGTTTCATTTGCTAGTCTCAATTGTGATTGTTAAGTGAAAACTACCCTTACTGTGTTTTGTGGTCTTAAATATCTGGATTATTGCAATGCACTGTACATGGAGATGCCCTTGAAAAGTATTCACAAGCTTCAACATGTTGGATATTCGACACTTGTAATACCCCTACTGTGTGAGTTGCATTGGTTGTCTATTGTCTACTGTATTTCCAGGTGCAATTCATGGTGCTGGATATTGCCTTTAAAGCTCTTCATAGCTTGGTATGAGGTTACCTGAGACAATCTTATCTTTTCCCAGTTGTTTCTACCCATCTCATTCAGTCCAGTAGGTGGGCTTGTTACAGTCCCATCAATCCAGGAATGTTGGCTGGTGAGGACTAGGAGATATGTCCTCTCAGCCATAGACCTGACTTCTGGAACATTCTTTGTTTGTTTGGTTGGTTGGTTGATTGGTTGGTTGATTGATTGATTGCTATAGCTGCCCATCTCAGCAAATGACTCTGGATGGCTCACAATTAAAAAACATATATTACAATCTCCCTTCAGAGATCAGGATGAACTTGATCCTGCTGGCCTTTTGTAAGGCTATGAAGACCTGGTGATGTGTCCAGGCCTGGGGTCCCAAGTCTGTTAAGAACCCCGTTTGAGAAACACTGCATTAGATAAATTGTGTGATCTATACTTCAAAATGTAATGAACCTATATTTTTTTAATAGGGGCAAAGTTTAAGAAATACTTTGGTCATTCAGCACACGTGACAAATGTCAGGTGGTCACATGATTATCAATGGGTTATTTCTATTGGTGGAGCAGACCACTCTGTTTTCCAGTGGAAATTTATTCCTGAAAGAAAGTTGAAAGATGCTCTTCACATAGCACCGCAAGGTGAGGGAATATATACAATTTCAACAATGACATAATATTGCTAGTAATGATTTCAACATGAATTTCTTTTGAGATGGGCAATATTTCAGCTATTATTCATATCTTTTGAGGCTTTTTCCTCCCTAAATTTTGTTTTTTGCTATTTTCCATATTTGTGTAACATTGGTATTTATTTATCTAGACATTTCTTTTCTCCCCCTTCTATAGCTGACTAATAACAAAATATTTTAAAAGTCATATTAAATGCCAGGAATAGATTACAAAAATGAGTGTCGTAATAAAATATTCCAGAACAGTATGGAACAATGATTGAAAATTTATTTCATAAATACTAGATATAGACTTCTAATTTTTAAAATCCAGTGAATTGGATTTCTGCAAGTGTTCTGGACTGTAATTTGCTCTCTTTTTTTTTATTTCCCACCAGATTACATGATTCTTATTCCTGTCTTGGTTCTTGTTTTCTACCTTTAGGAAATACAGCTTATCCAGAAAAGATTGGCTATATAGCGGCACTATTACAATGAAATAAGTTTTAAACAATATCCTTGTAAAGACACTTTAATTGGCCTTTCTTATAAAACACAGAAGCAGTTCATTTTCATCTATTCAGTACAAGAAATTGCAATATTCTCATCATATTAATAGTCTAAAATGAGAAAAAGTAATAATCTAATGGGAATCTATTGATCAGAGGAATTTGGTTAACTACAATAAGAAGAAGTACCAGGATTGCCATCATTAAATAATTCAACCATGTGATGTTGAGTTTTGCAATCTCATCATTTAGTGATGGAAATTCTGGCCCCAGTTTCTGTTGTATTTTGAGGACTTTTATAATTGGTCCAGCTGGGTTGCAACTTAGTTCTGATGCTGACAGAAAATTTTGGTGACTTAACCATGGTCAACAGTATTGCCAAACATGTATAGATATTGATAACCATCAAGGGTGGGCTCTCCTTTTGTAATGAGAGTAGTAGTAAAGGGGAAATTTAGATCTGAGGTTATGTATTATTTATTACATTTAAACTTTCTCCCTCCTGCATGTTTACAAGCAGACATAAATTTACTACAGAAAAATAAGAGGGGGTGTGTATGTTATTCTTTGAAGAAATTCTTAACCCTGGAGAACAGTACAGTATCCCGGAATACTGGCCATCATCTTCTATCTTTTTTGAGTTAACAGCCATTTACTGTAGCTGCTTGTTTCCCAAGCTTTCATGTTTCTCTTATCTTACCCTTTTTTCTCTTGTGGAAAAGTTATGTTCATACTTTGAAGGCCCTCCATAGAATTTGCTTCTGTGGGAATATGTATACTTCTTGACTTGACTTTGATTTTACTATTTCAGTATTTTCTCTATATTTTATTTGTATTATAGAAAGCATGATTGACTCCAATAGTGAAGAATCAGATTCTGATCAATCTGATGTTCCAGAGCTGGACTCTGAAATTGAGCAAGAGACTCAGATCACTTATCGACGACAGGTATTATCTTATACATTAAGGAATGGGCTAGAAACTCCCTAGACTGATTCGGCTTGTCCTAATAATCCTGGCTGCATCTAAAATATTAATACCACAATTATGCTTGAGTTACTTTTCTGCCATGGAATCAACTGTCTGCCTGTTGATTCTGTATAGTCTGAAGAGGGAGGGGATGGAATATGGAAAAGAAGTTGATTTTGGAGATGTTGGGCACTAGACTTTCTTACTACCTACCTTATGTTAATAACCAAATGCCACCCAGCATGAGACATACAAAGCAAGATTCTGCTAAGTCATGAAAAAGGAAGAAGTGCCCAATTTAAACTATAGAAGGTATAAGAAGGAATAGCATTGTCATATTGGCAGAGGTTAATCAACTGCTTTAAATGGTTTTGTTATAGTATGCAATAAAAGTTCTTATCTAGCCATATCATATTGAGTGCCTATGAAGCGTCTTCCAAATTCAAGACAATTAAAGGTAGCCCCCTGAAATTATGTCCCCTGAAGTAGTGTATCACTGGATAAACTTTTTGCTATAATCACAAACGGATTTTTAAAAATAGAGAAATGCACTTGCTGCATACAGCTAGGTCATTCTTTAAACATATCCCATTTATTGACTTTTAAAAGTAATTTCAGCTCTTATCCCAAATATTTAATATTAACACTTCTTTATTTCTTTATTTTTTATCCCACCTTTATTACTTTTATAAATAATAACTCAGGCCATAGACATGTATAATGTTCCTTCCTCCTATTTTCCCCATAACAACCCTATGAGATGGGTTGGACTGAAAGAGTGATTGCCCCAATTGTCACCCAGTTGGTTTTCATGCCTAAAATGGAACTAGGATCATTCCCTTAGTTCAAGATCTTCATTTTCAATTCTTGAGCAGATAGTTGTGGTTTGACCCTCCTATTATGTTTAATCTTAACCTCAGGGTTTTTTTTTTTTATGCTATTGACTTTCATTACTAGGGCTTGCAAACCATTTGCATATTCAGCTTTCACAGTAATTACTTATAATTTTTATTCTAATAATTTATTTAATCGGAATAGTTTTTTAACAATGTTGCAACTATGTTCAATATATTATGTTCATATAGAAAACTTCTACTCCTTAGAGTGATTGGTTTTTCAAATATGCACAGTGACAGAAAATCTTTGTATTTCTCTGCTAAGGTTTACAAAGAAGATCTACCTCAGCTTAAAGAGCAATGCAAAGAAAAACGAAAAACTGCAGCCTCAAAAAGAAGAGAGAAGGCTCCCATCAATAGTATAAGATTGCATTTTGTTCACGGGTGTGTAAATCTTTTCTTTTTTCCTTTCCTTTTCCCTTTTCTATTCTTTTCTTTCTTTTCTTTCCTAAAAGGAAATGATACATATTATGTATTTATTCAGATTTAGACTCTCAAGGATGAATTCTACAGCTGGCTGTTCTATTTTGTTTTTAATTAAAAGCAACCTCGTGGGTTTATTTCAAATGGAATTATACTACTGGGAGAAAGTATTGTTTTTCCAGAGTATAATTTCTCAGATTTCCTCTGTACATTTCTTGCAATACATACCCAATATAACAATATGAAGAAGGAAGCTTGTATAGGCAAATGTACTCTGTTTGCATGTTTCTTCTACAAAACAATAGTTTTTCTGTTTTAAATTCATGAGTTATTGTTAAAAACAGGTCAAGATAGTGAATGTTGTCCTAATAGTTAATGGGAAGTAGGTTTAAGTTGAAAGCAGTAATTTAGATAACCTTTTTAAACAGGGCAAACAGTTCAAAGGGAAATTACTGATATAACTTAGTTTGATTTGTTATTCTATGAGACATACCCAATTTGGCATGTAGGAGTAGGGGCGCAATGATTCAGCAGTTAAGGATGCTGAGCTTGTCAGCTGAAGAGCTGACACAGTAGTGGTTTCCACCTACCTTCACTACCGGTTCGGAACTGTGAGCGCACGCACATGGTGCTTCTGCGCATGCGCAGAGTGTACATGATGACGTCCAGGTGGGTGGGTGGAGCTTCCCACCACCGCCACTACAGGGCAAACTGGTAGAAACCCACCACAGAGCTGACAGCCCTAGTTCGAGACCTGATCTCTGCGCCACGGAGTGAGCTCCCTCTACTTGCCCTAGCTCCTGCACATCTAGTAGTTTGAAAGCATGCAGATATGAATAGATTAATAGGTACCACTTCGGTGGGAAGGTAACAGCATTCCATGCTCCTTTGGCAGGCTACATGACCATGGAAATTGTCTTTGAACAATGCTCCAAAGAAACAGAGATGAGTACCGGATTGATAGGGAAACCTTTAGCTTTTTATATATAGGAGTGTTCATCCACTTGGAGAATGGATAAGCCAGGAAAAATGTGTGATAAAACAGAAAGAAATATGGTCAAGAATGAATGATAGATAAATGAAAGAGAAATTATTAGACCACATACAAAAAATGCAGTGTTATGAAAAAAGAAAGAACAGTTTGAGGGGAAGAGGAAAACTGGGAAAGCTGTGTTTAGATGAAGTTGATGAGAGCTTCAAAAAGTTCCTTCAGCTCCCTCGGGGTCATCGAGTACATCTGGGGTTTGGGTAGCCGAGCCCCGGGTTTCAGTTCTATTCCACAATCCGTGTCCCGGTGCGGTGGTAACATATTACATTCCTCCTCACTAGAAACCTGGGCACGGTCGCTATATACTTGGGGGTATCTGTGATCGGCAGGGCCGGATTTTCCTATAGGCTAACTAGGCTTCAGCCTAGGGCCTCAAGATCAAGAGGGGCCTCAAGATCAAGAGGGGCCTCAAGATCAAGAGGGGCCTACATTCAAATTGTTAGCAAAATTAAAATTACACTTTCACTATAGGTGAAAGGGCCTCATAAGTGGAATAGCCTAGGGCCTCTTTTCATCTAAATCCGGCCCTGGTGATCGGGCATCCCTTCAGTACGTAGTCCAACACAAGAATCTGTCGTTATCGGAAGCCTCACTTTGCGATACCCTCCCTCCCACCAGATATGTGGTTTCCATTTATCTAACCATGCAAGACTAAGGATGATTGGCTCGATCATCTGTTGTATCACTATAAAACAGATCCGTTCCTGGTGTTCTCCTATACACAAAACAACCGGTTCGGTTATGCTAACGGTTGGCATACCCCCTAGTAGTGTTCCATCTACCTGTTCAAATCTAATGGGGGTTTGTAGGGCCATTATCCGAAGGCCCAATGCCTCCGCGATAGACTGGCGGATGAGGCATCGGGTGTACCCGGTATCGATCAATGCTTCCTGAGCGCACTTCTTAGCAGTTATGGGGTGCTGTAAGGTTACTGGTATTAAGAAGGGACGTATAGGGTCACTTACCATAGGCTCCTGTGCCTCGTCGTCATCACTGCTGTGGTCCGAGGTCTCGGGACCATGAGCCATCCTAGGCGTACCGCTCACGGTAGCATGTGTTGTCGTCTCCAACAAGGAGGTATGGGTCGCCGCCCTGGACCGTTCCGGTGTCTGTATGGAGCGGTCCCGTGGAGTTGTACCCGGCCCTGGTGGTCGTGGGGTGGACATTCGTGGTGAAGGTAGGGGGCATTCGTCTGCCCGATGCCCCTCTTGGTTACACCTGAAGCACCGGAACGGCCATCTGATTGCCTCACCGCTTGCCATCTCGAGCATTGGGAGTGGCCTGACTGGACCCTGGTCGCCGAACCACCCACCTGGACCACACCTCGGTTGGTTCTGGATTGTAGCCCGGGGCCTGAATTCTCGCAACCCCACATCTAGGCTGACAGCCGCTTTATACCATTCCGACAGGCGAGACCCCAACCCTCGATACACACAAGCCTGTCGTATCTCTCTGTCCAGTCCCGACTGAAATTGATGTATAAGGAGGCGTTCTGGCCAGGATCGTAGCTTCCCAGCCAGGTTGCGAAACTCCTTGACGTAGTCCTTGGCCGGGCGGCCCCGTTGTCTGAGGTTTACTAACACCCCCTCTATAACTTGGGTTCGGGTCTTGCCTCGAACCGGCTTCTTAACGCCTCCAGGAACAGTCCTAAATCTGTTAGTTCACGAGCATGTTCGCTATGCAGGTTGGCCAGCCAGTCAGTTGCTTCACCTGTAAGTACAGCCGTCACTGCAACCACCATGGACCATTGCAAGGGGTACAGCCTCCCATATAGATCCATGTGGCTGATTATTTGGCTGAGAAACAATGCCACCTTTTCCGATGACCCATCGAAAGTGGCTTGTACTGGGGGTAAACCCCAAGGGGTTTGAGGAGTCCACACCCCGGGGCCCCTCATCAGCAACGGGTCCAGCTGACGGGTTGGGCTGGTCTTTGCCGTGCATCATGTCGCTCACGCTGACTCCGCAGCGTGAACCACCACTCTTTCCCTGCTGGGCCGTGGGGGAGCTCTAGTTGGTACACGGAGACTCTCCCCCCCAGCTGGTGGAACGGCACTGATCCTCCCCGGGGGTTGGTGCTCCCCGCTCACCCGTCTCGTGTGATGTTCGGGCTTAAACTTCGGACTAGCAAGGCGGAGTCTGCTGCCCCCAGTCCTGCTGCTCAGGGCCCCGCCCCCTTGCCACATCTCGGAGGGCTCTACGCTGGGAGCCCACGGCTGCCAAGAGGGTGCGTCCCGGAAGCTAGACTCCCCGAACCTGTCACATAGAACATCCATGGTAGTTGCTCCCGGGCCAGTGGAGTAGCTCCATTCCCCTTCTTCATCTTCAATCCACTGCCGCTCCCTCCAGCCTTGAAACTGAGCGCCGGTGTGGGGCGGTGTTTGAACTCACGTCCCAGTCACAGCGGAACTATGCCACCAATGCCCCGCGCTAGCCTGAGTGATCGTTTCAAGTCCATGTGACTCCTGACTCTCCTTCCGTGGGGCTGCTATGGCGCCCTCCTTCCGTGGCTCTTGTTGTTTTGGCCTCACCACCGGCTGCTCGCTGGTCTCCGGCGTTTCAACAGCAGCAGCCCCTTCTGCCTCTTCCTCCTTCCCCTCAGTTAGCGTCCCCTCAGGCAGCGCTTCTGCGCCCTCAGCCATGGCGCCCCGCTAGCGGCGAGCTTGGTAGAGGAGCCGCGTCTTCCTCTCAGCCTCCCTTAGACCGGATCACCGACTCACAAGAAATACACTCGACCAGGGATCGGAGTATCTTGGTTTAATCAATGACAACAGCTCTCGGTAGAGACCAGAATGTAACACAAACAAAGACGCAGCTGCTGGGAGTCGGCTATCGAGCCCTTTTATAGGGCGGTCTCTGAGTGCTGACAGCTGGGACGATTTAAAGTTCCCGCAGCTGACAGTCCGGGCGCGCAGCGGTGACGTCATCCACACTGGTCCCCAACGAAGCTGTGTGCTCGCAGGTTCTTCTGTATGCCCACGCGACCCTATTAAACACCCGTGCGCATAGACTCCTAGTCGTTATACCTAACCCCTTCACCATCACCCAGTGGGCCACATCCGCCCCCCCCATCAGGCATGCTATCCATGACGCAGCGGTCGAGGTCATGGTGTTGAGTGCTTCTTGCCGCTCGACAGAGAGAGAGATACTTAGAGAACAAAAGACAAGGTATGAACCTAGTGAAAGAAAAATAGGGATAGAAAGTTATGGCGAATAATATTGGCACAAACTAAGTTTATTTAGGTTTCCTTTTTTTCTTTCTTCTCTCCTGCTTCTGATTATTTTTTTCTGCATTTAAATACAATGTGGTTTATGTTGAAGAGGAATAGCATGATCCATGTATATATGTATTGCATTAAGATACATGTTACTTTAATTTCATGTTGTTTTATTAGTTACAGAGGCTATGACTGTCGGAGTAATTTATTTTACACTCAGACTGGAGAAATTGTGTACCATGTTGCAGCAGTGGGCATAGTATACAATCGGCAGCAAAACACACAGCGCTTTTATTTGGGTCATGATGATGATATCCTATGCCTTGCTATTCACCCTTTAAAGGACTATGTGGCCACAGGCCAGGTAGGATGTATGGAAGAACTAGAGATCTAGAGTTATTATTTCAGTGCAGTCAGTCTATAATGGATTTTTAATATTCCTATCAATATTCTTCAGTTGTAGAAAATGTGTTTGGGCTTCTTATGCTATGATTCTTGGGCTATATAAAAATAGGAGTTTCTGGAAATCAGAAGCATATTTTTCCTGCAAAGGGAAATGTTCTGTGTATGTGTGGGAGCTTTTCCACTGAAAAATACTAAAGCAGCTGGATACACAGAACTTCATAAAATACATGGGTGGATCCATGCTTGATTAGAACCAGTGGGTTGAATCCACTGCATAGATGACAGTGGTTGGATCAAAGAAGGTAAAATATGACATCTACAGGACATGTTGATGCTGATGTAAATGATGAAGTTTATATAGTGGCATCATATGTCATAATGTTCTTATATAATAATACCACTTGCATTATTATGTGCTGAAAGTGTCACAATTTTAATATTATCTTGTCTTGGATGCCTATGGTCAAATAGAGTAATTTCTGTGTTCTAAACAATTGTTAGAAATTGTTAATCTAGTGGTTGTTTTAAGTGTACTACAGGCTTGGAACGAGCCTGTAGTACAGTGGACTAAAGCACTGTTATTAACAGATTAACATCTGCTGCTTGCAATTATTGCAAGTTCAAATCTCACCAGGCTCAAGGTTGACTCAGCCTTCCATCCTTTCAAAGGTAGGTGAAATGAGGACCCAGATTGTGGGGGCAATAAGCTGACTTTGTATAAATATACAAAAGTATGAAGGCTATTGCTTAACACATTGTAAGCCACCCTGAGTCTCCAGAGAAGGGCGGCATATAAATTAAAGCAAAAAAAAAAAGTAACATAATATACCTTACAAAGTTTATTTTCAAAATTGTACAACAATAATTTATAATGACAGAAAGAATCATCCCAGGAAAAAACAGTGCTGTGTTTGCTAAGCTAACATTTACTTACTTATTTGCACAATTTATCTATTGCCTTATTCCAAATAGACTTTAGAACAGGGGTGTCAAACTGGCGGCCTGCGGGCCAGATGCATCACATGCAGGCCACACCCAGCCCAGCTCTGCGAAGGGGGACAATGTTGCAAAATGTCACGTGACAGCAACATGACACTGCAAGTTTGATACCTGTGCTCTAGAGAATGTAGAGGTATTGACAAATTAAACACATTATAAAGTAAAAATAATAATCATAAGAATATAGAATGCAATAATTAATGCCAGAGTTATGGCTCCATATTAATCAGACTTAAAAGGCCTTCTTGAGCAGTCAAGTTTTGCAAGTTTTCTGAAGGACATGGAAATAGGAGTAAAATACTGTAATACGAATGACTGGCATGGTTAGGAATTGGGTATAATAAAAAAACTAGTAAGTTTAATAAAGTAAGTGTATGTGTTCAATCTCTTATATAAGGTTGGCCGGGATTGCTCAACTCATGTTTGGGATACAGAGACAATCAAACCTCTGTCGGTATTAAAGGGCTATCACCAGTTTGGTGTTTGTGCTGTTGATTTTTCAGGTATGTATGGCTATCATATTTTTGTGAAAGTGTAGGCTACATAAATGTGATTAATTTTGTTAATACTAAGGGCAGATGTGTATTTGATGGTGTGTGAAGGAGAGATATTATTAGAATGTTGTCTTTTGTATCTCTGTAGTCATTGGCATTGGATTCTCTTCAGCAACCATATAATGAAATTATCTCAGTTTCTCACTGCCTAACCTTATGAGGCCCATCTCTTCCTAAAATGTGGGTCTTTATGGCCAAAGGGGCAGAATCTCCGATCATCAATTGGAGACAACTGCCTGCATAGAAACTAATTGGGGCAGATGTAGATAATAGCATTGGTCTTAAATTGGTTAAATATTGAGAATAAGTTAATGACCATAATAGTTGAGAATGATCAATGCCAATGAAAAAACATTGAAATATAACAAAAGCATCATTTCTGTCATATACTTCACCACTATTGAATTTTTTTTTTAAAAAATTAATTAGTTTGAAAAAATATATCTTTTAAAAACAAGAACAGAACAGAACAGAACAGAACAGAACAGAACAGAACAGAACAGAACAGAACAGAATAGAATAGAATAGAATTTTTTATTGGCCAAGTGTGATTGGACACACAAGGAATTTGTCTTGGTGCATATGCTCTCAGTGTACAAAAAAGAAAAGATACGTTCATCAATAAAATAAATCAAATTAAAAAAAAATCAAGAATCATAAGGTACAACACTTAATGATAGTCATAGGGTACAAATAAACAATCAAATAAGCATATGATTGAATTAGAGAAATCGTTAAATTTCTAAACTGTTTAAAGTAATTGTCACAAATCTCGCTTTCAAATTTTGGCATCAGAAGTGCCTGCCTTTAAATTTCATCAGTTATTATGTGAGGCATTCTTCAAAATGTTTACATATATGAAGAGATACAGTATAGGTGTCCTTAAATATTTGTTTGTTAGGTGCAGCACAAAACCCATGGCATTCTAACATGTTTTGAAATGTGATTTTTGTTTTTGCTATTCAATATTTATCTATTTTTATTGAGTTTAAGTTGCATTTTTGTACATTGCAATTATATTAGACATAGTACTATTGGAATGTCTAAGTGGTTCAGGAAATTTGGTAAATAAGCTAGATTTGCCTGAGAAATACAGCATATCATTTTAATAGCATACTATGATTATTATTAAGTTAGCAAAAGTATACAGAGATAAATCTGGAAAATGAAGCAGTCCATATGCAAATGACACTGACCTTTTAGGCCTTGAAATGATGGAGAATGATTGAAAAAAATAAAAGTGCATATTTGGAGTCAAATAGCAATGAAGACAGTTACTGGTGATATACAAATATGTGACAATGAGAGTTTAGATATTCAAAATGATCCCCGTATTTATTGCCATAATTTGTAAGTATTGCTGTTTATAAAACAGTGCTTTATACTTTGTTTTATAGCTGATGGCAAACGTTTAGCTTCAGTTGGAATAGATGACAATCACACTGTTATTCTTTGGGATTGGAGAAAAGGAGATAAGCTTTCAGCAGTAAGGTAAAAAGGTCACCCAGTTGTTTTACTATAATCATGTGTTATGATTATATTGAAATAATAGTAAAAAGCAGGACATTTGTGGCCTTGTTTCTATTGATACCTAATGTCCAATGGACTGTCAAATTTCTTATTATGGTTGTGGATGAATTGTACAAATTATATCCAATCTGCTTTATTGTGTTTATATTACTAGGCCTTACATATACTGTACATTAGGTCCACTTGTAAAAATTCAGTAAGATAAAAGAAAGATGGTGTAGCCTATTATGATTAATCATTAGTATGTTGATCAGAGATTTTGAAGATCAGTAATTTTTATTTGCTGATTAAGGTACATAAGTCACAGTTTACTGCAACTGGGATTTTTTAAAAACAGGTGGAAGATGTTTTCAGTCTTTTAAAAATATGTTATTGTATTAGAATGATGAGGGACCAACATAATAAAGAAACATGAAAAAGGTATATTGAAGATATACCATAGCAAAAAGAATTTTACATTGGAGATAATTATGCAAAAATCTATATTTTTTATTTTGTCATTGCAGAAAGTAAAATGGAGAATGTCAGATTCTAACTTTGAAAGATAAATAGACAATTCATCTACTAATCTTAAAACAAAATTTGGAATTTTTATATTGCTATTTGAATATAAGTAATTGTTGAAGTTGTTGTTTTGTCAAAGCTTTATTGTATGGAGAAAATATTTTCCCACATGAAAGTGAAAATATTTTTAAATTTCTTTTAGGGGGAGTAAAGACAAGATCTTTGTTGTTAAAATTAACCCCTTTATGCCTGATAAACTAATTACAGCTGGAATTAAACACATAAAATTCTGGCGAAGAGCAGGTAAGGCATTATTTTAAAAATTACTTTGAGTAATTATCAAGTACACCTCAATCATAGTTTATTTTCCCCTTTTATATGACACTGGAGTGTGAGAGTAAATGAAGCTAAACCCAGTAGTAAGTTGTTGCTATAGCTTTTTAACATAATTTGCTTTTGAGAAACTGTGAGGATAATAGATGACCCTATGATGATATTTATATATATATGTGTGTGTGTGTGTGTGTCTCTTTCTGTGTGTATGTGTGTGTATGTGTATGTGTGTGCATATCAGTGGTGGGTTTCTAACCAGTAGTGGCAGTGGCAGGAGGCTCTGCCCACCTGCCTGGACGTCATCAGAAGCTCTGCACATGCGCAGAAGCGCTGCATCTTGTTTTGCTCGCACTCGTGTTTGTGCATTCACAGCATTCACAAACCAGTTTTAAAAACTTTCTGTCTTCATTTAGAAACACATGTTCAAGGTCAAATATAATAATTTGGTTTTATTTGAATTTAAGGAGGTGGATTAATTGGAAAAAAAGGTTATGTGGGTCCAGTGGGAAAAATTGATACAATGATGTGTGCAGTTTATGGCTGGACAGAAGAAATGGCATTTTCTGGAACTGCAACTGGAGATGTGTGTATATGGAGAGATATTTTCTTGGTCAAAACAGTGAAAGCACATGATGGCCCATTGTTCAGTATGCATGCATTAGAAAAAGTGAGTAATTTATCATTGAATATAAATTGATTTTATTGCATTCAAGCCCAGAAATTAGATTAGACATGCCTAAAGGGTTTGGCAAGCTCACTATTTTTCATCTTTTTCCTCCTTAACTCAAAAAGTATATATCAAGAATATGGTTATGCATCTAACCAACAGTGCACACAGTATTCCTCATTGTGTTTTTGCTACTCTTAGTCTCTTGTAATCTATTCTTCTGTAATCTCTCCACCCTGTGGTGGGGAGGGGAAAGAGTGGAAAATGAATGTATCACAGGAGAAATTGCATAGAGATTTCTTCCCCCACTTTTTTTTCCTCCCCCTCCTCATTTAAACAATCTCTCTGCTCTGTAAGGGGGGAGGGGACACAAGCAATCTTTTTAGAATCTGACCTTTCTCATTCAAAGCGATCATTTTCTTGGCCCATTTAGTCTTTTCTCCATCACTAGATGCACTTTCCTTTGAACTCAAGGGCTTTCACTATAAGCACAATAATATTTTAAGCACAAGTAACCTTGCACACACAAACACAACAAAGGTCACAAGCCGTCTTGCTTGGATAATGCTTGCTGTGAAACTGTCACCATCATTCAGGGTGAATGTAGCATGAAACAACCACATTTTAATATACAATTTTGTGATCTGTTCTTCAGGAACACAAATTTGTGAATATGGATGCCATAAATATAGAAAATTGAGTGTAAAGTAAATTAAAATAGCTGTAGAAATATTACTCAGGGTTGCGGCAATGGAATAAAATATAAATGAGTATAACATGTAAATAACTTCTCAATGTGGTTTAGAATCAAGAGATATGGAATATGTTTTATATTATCTTTTCTCTTTAGGGATTTGTAACCGGGGCAAAAGATGGAATTGTTGCTCTTTGGGATGACAGCTTTGAGCGGTGTCTGAAAACATATGCCATCAAACGAGCTGCATTAGCCCCAGGCTCCAAAGGTAATTTGAAATTTTCTTAGATCACTATAGTACAGACTTATTTTCTACTGTTTTAAAATAATTATCTTTTTGTGAGTTGATTCATCCCAATCCCTTTTGTGATCTGATTCAGCTGAAAATTTTTGAAGAGTTTGAAAGCAGGGAAGAACAACAGGTGGGACTTTTGAGCAGTTGAGAGCTTTTCATGTAATTCCCATAATGTGCTTTATCTGCTTTCATGCAATAAAAGGGTTTCTATTAGAACTGAATTTTACTACGTAACTTGAGGTGAATAAAACAATTCAGAGATTAGCAGAAGTCTATTGTTATATAGAGAATCTTGAAAGCCTGCCAGAATATCCCTCAGTCCTTTCTTATACTAAAGAGAAGCAATATGAGTTTGTTTTGATTCTCTTTCTCATGCCCACTTCATTCTCAGGATCAAATTGTCATTTATTTATTTTTTTATAACAGTTCTTGCATTCCTTCTTCAAAATTATCTCTGAATTCATCTACAACAGAGGTCTTCAAACTTGGCAGCTTTAAGACTTGTGGACTTCAATTCCCATAGCTATGCTGGCTGGAGAATTCTGGGAGTTGAAGTCCACAAGTCTTAAAGCTGCTAAATCTGAAGACCTCTGATCTACAGCAACCTTCTCCTACATAGGGGGCAGAAGCCATGCTGTCATTGCCATTTCTTCCTCCTTCTTCACCTCAGCTTGCGCTCAGCTCTACCAGATGGGGGAATTCTTGCTCCACCCATGCCAAGGTGGTTGGTAAACTCATTGGCCAAAGGGCTACCTGAGGAGATGGGGAGCGCTCATAAAAGCAGCCAAACAGAAGGTTGCTTTCTCCCTCTCTTTTGTGGGCTAGGTAGATATGTTTCTTTTGGGGACTATGGATCAGATGTTTTGGGAGGCAGGTCACATCTGGCCCATGGCCATGGATCGCCAATTGCAAATCACAATTTTGAGAAAAGGTTTTGAAATTAAATATGTATTTTAGTCATTCACAAAAATTTACATAAAGTGTTGTTTGTTTAACATACTGTTGAATTTATTGAGCTCTGAAATATGTATATTATTAGTACTATCAATTCAGGATGGATATTTTCATAAACAACAGTTAACTGGAGATTTTATCCAGTAGATACTAAACATGATTTCTCTTATGTATTTATGTATCTATTTATTTATTGGCCCATCCATCTCACAGCAGTGATTTGGACAGAGTACCAAAATTAAAACCACCATAGCAGATATCCTGGTTAAAACAGTAACACTCCACTCCAAACAAAAAGCCACATCACCAGCAGAACTCCCTAACTTCCTGACCCAAATGCCTGGGTCTTACAACACAATCAGTACAAGTTTTGAGTTGTGGTTTAAAACAAAGAAGATCAGTTCAGAACTTTACAAAAGGATAATAAGGTCAGCATTCATCTTTAATAATTCCGCTCTCTGGTGGAATTCTATTGCTGAGGCTAGGCACTACCACAGAGAAGCCATGACTGGAAGGTCCAATAAGATAGCATTGTTTGATGATGGAAGACACTCAAGAGCATGCCCTTCCTGTTAAATCTGAAGGGGTAGGCAGAAACGATTAGGCAATTGTGCTATGCATGTCTGCATAAATATGTCTCAATGAGTTCAGTTAGACCAATTCACAGGAAATAAGCATTGGATTATCAAAGATAAATAAGAAAAAATTGTATTTTTTTCAAGCAAGGATTGTGTTAAACTTTAGGAAACATAATACGATGTTCCAATAATAATTGCTTTTATTTATATTGTGATTGTTCAAATAGAATTCTTTATTTTCTTTTACCCATTTAGGTCTCCTTTTAGAAGATAATCCTTCTATCCGTGCCATATCATTAGGACATGGTCATATTTTAGTAGGAACAAAGAATGGTGAAATATTGGAAGTTGATAAAAGTGGGCCAATAACTTTACTAGTTCAGGTAAATATTAAAAATATTTCTTATTATAGTGTACATTTTGGAATGTTAAATTTGCAGTGAATTAGAAATAACTGTTTAAAAAATAATAGTGATAGTGATACATACGTTGTCAAAGACAAAAAAAGAACACATAAAAAGTGCTGTAACAAAAAATAAAATAATACAACAAAACTTCCATATGTCATTATAACAATAAACAGTTATAATTCCATATATACTGTAGTTGTTTAAGGCAAATATTATTCAAGTTGAATATATTTCTGATACATTTACACAGCTATCTTTTTTTTAATCTACTGTGTTCTGTATAAATGAGTCCCATATTTCATTTTACCTATCCATATAAAATCTACATTTATAGACAATCCGCTCATAGATGGCAATCAATCCATTGAGTGAAAATTGACATAAATTTATCTTTTTAATTCTACAATATCAGTCTTTTGGCAATATTAAGGGCATGGAAAATTCATTTACATTGTCCAGTTGTCTAATTCCATGTACTGTAAGAGAGTATTATCTTTGAAAATTTTAGCTTTTGTTGCACAATTATATTTATATAATCCATTACTTTCTATTAAAACTTGGTACATACAAGACATTGTAAAAACATGTATTTTAAATAAACGTTATCCTTATTACATCACCAGTTAAATTCTGTTTTTAATCAATTTATACATGCACCCATTTTGCCATTTGTGGCTCTGGGCAGCGCATATAAGACCAAACAAAACCCCACCCAAAGAACCCCCAAATAGACAAATAATACAATAAGAATCTAATGATGCCCAGATCCATATAACAGCTATACTAAAAAGTCAAATTGAAAAATTGCATTGACAGGATCAACCATGTCTTGCTTTTCCTTTCATGCATTATCCTAGCCAAAAAAAAAAAAAATCTGTATATTGAAGATGGGAAGGAAGTGGGTTTGTGATGTCTTAAGATCTTGTACCCCAAACATGGTATTTGGGCACAGTATTCCTGATCACAAATGTCAGATTACATGCTTCATTTGATTTTTTTAAATGTTAACTTAATTTCAAAATAAATGGGTGTGTTCAGCGGCGGAGTGTGGTTGATTGAATTGGTAGCGGCGGCAGCGCAAAGTTCTGCCCACCCGCCCAGACATCATTATTTCCTGTTTTAACCAGGAAGTAACCTGTTTTTGACCCTCTGCACATGCACAGAAGGCTTTGCGCATGCGTAGAGGGTCCAAAATCGCATGTGATGCGCACGGAGTGGGCACTTCCGAACCAGTAGGGAAGGTGAGTAGTTTTCACCCCTGGGTGTGTTATAAAGCTAAGCTGCAACTGCAACTATTTCTGACTCCAAGAAATATCCCAGAGGTATACTTAGAAAATAAAATTATTTGACATATGCCATATGCCAAAATTGTTTGACGTATGCCATTCTACCAAAAACAAAAAAGATTAAAAACATTTGGGAAATAGAAGGAATAAAAAGGAGGAATCCTATTAGTTTCCCTTTTATTAAGTGAATGTTTTGTGATTGGCCAAACTAACTATGATAGCCATTTTGTCAGAATGTCTAAAACATGATTAAATATTCCAAAGATGTTCAATGCTCTTTTCCAGAGCTCCATATTATAACTGCATCATTATCAGCTGTTAACTTGCAGAGTAAAATTTGTTTTTACAGGGTCATATGGACGGAGATGTTTGGGGTTTAGCTTCTCATCCTCATTTACCTATTTGTGCCACTGTAAGTGAAGATAAAACCTTAAGAATATGGGATCTTTCACCAAGCCATTGCATGCTAGCTGTTCGAAAACTGAAGAAGGGTAAGATTATTTTTGTTTCCTTTTCCAGTTTTACCTACATCTTTGAACTTTACCAAGATTCCAATTAAATGGTATATGTCAATTTGTTAAGTATTAAAAAACAAAATTAATTTGAATTAAAAAATGGAATCAAATTGCTAGAACAAATGAACAACCTTTAATAGAGCTACCTTTAATAGGATAATTACAAAACTAATTTTCTCACTAATTGCTTGTGGAATATGTTAACTCCTTTTACTATATATGATGTCCTCCTAGAATCTGTGCGGGTTGGAAATATTGGGTCTAGGAATAAAGATGGGATTTGGGGGATACAGGTTGTCCTCATCTGGCAACCACATTTGGGACCAGTAACTTGGTCATTAAGTGAAACGATCATTAAGTGAAAATATGAATGAGCTTATGATCTTAGTTTAGATCTTAGTTTAGATCATACTTACATTACGAAAAAGTCATGAATGCAAGGACTTGTCACAAAGTTTACTTTTGCATCATCATAACTGAATGGTTGCTAAATGAAGGAGTCATTAAATGATGGCTTCATTCAATGTTGCATGAAAACCCATTTGTGAAGAGGTCAATTCTAAGTATTTTTCCCATTGCAATGTTTAGATTTATGGAATGAATATTTCTATGTTTTTGCATCACAGTAAAATAAATTAAGTAGTCAAATTCGAGAAACAACTGCTGTGATCTTTTTATTGATAAAATTTCTCTTACATACAGCACAATGTAAGACAGCACATTTGGCAGTGACATGTATCAGAGTCACAATTAGACAAGAAGACATCTGAATGACATGTTGATCCTTAGGTCTAGGGAGCAAGGAGAGGTTTGATGTGTTTTGCAAGGGAGATCTGTGTAACTATAGTACCCTGGCAAAGGTAGAGGAGATCTGAGTTTGCAGAGCTCTTGAGAAATAGAGGTTAGAAAGTGGCTTGGAGGCCTTGCAGCAAAAGGAGATGGAACAGTGCAAAAGTTTTGATGGTGAATGGAAAAAATAGAATGGGGTGAGTGGCTATTGCAGATGCATGGAAGAGAGTTCTGTGGCAGATGATGGGAAGGATTAGGTGAGTGTAATTATTACACAAGAGTCGAAAAGAATTACACTCCACACTCTGGAGTGAGGTGATGCTGGAAAAAGGACGAGGATTGAATGACAGCAGAGGTAGAAAGAAGTCAAAGCAGTATCACCACTCAGGATGGTGTGGAGTTGAAGATTAGGATCAGCAGCATATCTTTTTATATTTGGCAGGGGGAAGATGTTGCTCTTTTTCACCTGATGGAAAAGCATTGGCAGTAGGCCTGAATGACGGCAGTTTCTTAATGGTAAATTCAGATACTTTGGAGGATCTTGTTTCTTTTCATCACAGGAAAGATGCTATTTCAGAAATACGATTTTCTTCTGGTAAGTAATAGGTTTCAGATCAGAGACACCTGGTAATAATAGTAATAATAATGTTCAGAAGAATTAAAATGAACATTTATAAGAGTGAATTTCACTACAGTGGGAGACTGCATTCTCTGTGCATGAGGATCTATGCACATAGTAAAACCTAGTCAAAAATCTTAGAAATATTAATATTCACACCTTTAGGAGGAAACCTCTGAGTTGATCCCATACTGTTAGCCACTGGACCATGCTAAAACAGATCACAAGTCGATTTAACTGAATTTTCTCTCTATGCCAGTTATGAGCAATTCTTTTTTCTCAACCTAAAATTACATTGACTTTTGTATGGTATGGGAAGAGTTGTATTGCAACAATAGACATATTAATTTTCTATCCATAATATGATTGAAATGATATTTTCATTTTAATTATTTTTCTTTGATCAATTAATTCACTATGCCCAAGATAGAATGTAACATTTTCACAATTGTTGGCCTTTGAAATGATTATGAAATGGAAATCATCTATACAGAGATCTTTCCTACTAGAAGTAGTTATGATATTCTGGAAGTACTAGAAATAAATTAAGGAAAACAGACATTTTCTGTTTTGATGTGACTTGATAACAATCTTCCAATTTAAGGGGCTGACGCAGAGAGGAGAGAGTTGACCTGTTCTCTAAAGAACTGGAGGGCTGAACAAGAAGTAATGGTTGGAAACTTTTCAAAGAGAGATCCAACATAGAACAGAGGAGAAATTTCCTGACAGTGAAAACAATCAGTGGAACAACTTGCCTCTAGAAATAGTGGGTGCTCTATCACCAGAGGTTTTTAAGAAGAAATTAGACAGCCAATTGTATGAAATGGTATAGGGCCTCCTGCTTGAGCAGGGGGTTGGACTAGAAGACCTCCAAGGTCCCTTACAACTATGTTATGCTGTTATTGTCAAAACAGAAATGTTCTGCAATTAATGAGATGTTATGACATTTATATCATAACATCTCATTAATGAGCTACCATGAATCATGGTGGCGCAGTACTGCAGGCTACTTCTGTTGACTGCCGGCTGCCTACAATTTGGCAGTTCAGATTTCACCAGGCTCAAGGTTGACTCAGCCTTCCATTCTTCCAAGGTGGGTAAAATGAGGACCCAAATTGTTGGGAGCAATATGCTGACTCTGGAAATCACTTAAAGAGGGTTGTAGAGCACTGTAAAGTGGTATATAAGTGCTATTGCTAATTATGTTAATTTCATTAAATGAGTCACATTTGTATTTTAGAACTAAATATTTTAGTTGCTAATAAAAAAAAAGAAAGGGAAAAGAAAATCTTGCGGGGACAGGTCCATGAAGTCATCAAGAGCTGAAGTCCACACAAAGGAGATCTTTTTTTCATGAAATACTTATTAAATAAGAGTCAGTTTTGTGAGATTAGTGGATATATAAATTTGATAAAATAAAAATATTGTTAAATATTTTAAAACTCAAAGGGGAAAGACTTTTGTTTCGGTGGGTTGTATGGCAAATTATTTCTAATTTAGAGAACCACTGAAAATTAATTAACTATAATTATAGTCCTTATCATATTTTAATCTTACTTTGTTAGTATTATATACATTTATTTGCAGCCATAACTTTTAATAAAATTGATATAAAATTAAAACAATCCATGTCTATTTTCTGTTCACTTGTGTAAATTAACATGTAACAAAACAAGTTGCATTGTATACAATGGCCACAAGTAAGATACAAATGCATATAGTGTTGTTAATATTAGAGCGGATGTATTGAACTGATATGGACTGTTGAACTTTTATTTGAATTTTGTTAAAATCTATGGTTGCAAATAAACATAGACTATTTTGCTAGCTCTTCTGTTAGTGCTAATTGTTTCATACTTTCAGTGTACACCTCTTAGAATTATGAGAGTTTCAATAACATTGCAGTTCTGAATCCATGCACTGATACAGTTACCATTAATTGTAAGGTGATGATGGGAATGGAAGGATTTATATTCCTTGCAGACAGGTGGTCATGTGCATTCTTTTAGAGAGGCCACTTGGAGGTTTATCTGTGTCCTCGGGGTCACTTGAGTAGTGCAAATGAGTATAGAGCCTTCTTGGAACTGCTGAAAGGACTGTGTTGTGGAGCTGTGCACGCTGTTGGGGATGGTTCTGTGTTATCTGCATCTGAAACTGAAGTGCAAGTGGTTCCTGTAGTCTGCAATTTTTGGAAATCCATTCATACTCCCGCACCATTCAAAGGGATTCATCCCAAAGGGCATAGCTAAATGTCTATGGAGAGTCTCAGTCATCCAGATCATGGTTGTCCCAACGGTACTTTTTTCAAGAGGTAACTGGACTTTTCTGTTTTTCTTTGAAGACGTTTCGCTTCTCATCCAAGAAGCTTCTTCAGCTTTGAGAAGAAAAGAAAGTCCAGTTGCCTCTTGAAAAAACACCTTTGGGACAACCATGTGTCAGCGTTCCAAGAAATGCCTCCATTTCAAAGCAGAACCCCCAAGGCAGGTTAAGTCCTCAAAGAACAGTCTTTATTGGAATTAGCATCTTGGCACAAACTGATGGAAAGCCAGTTCTAAATCTTCCCGGGCTTTCCACAGCCTTAAAAGAAAACATTTTTAGTCTTTTCAAAACCCTAAATCATATTGTCCAATCTGGACTCTAGCTGGTTGCTTGGTTACAACTCTCCTCCCCCTCTGGCCAGCCAGCTGCTGGAATGTCTCTGACTCACCAAAGAGTTATTCTGTTTTGTCTACCACCCCTTCTATCACTACCCCTCTTAGCTGTGTCAGCCAGAAGCTCTGAGAAAAGAAATGGGCGCTTCCAGTTCGGCTTTGGGCCTGACACCATGATCTGGATGACTGAGAATGTCCATAGACATCTGAGTCTAGATAAAGTGATCCAAATGTTGGCATCTGCTAAGGGCACTTACCGGTAGAATACTGAAAATGATATGAAAATACTTACCTCCTTATAATTGCATTGCAGGTGCTGGAAAATACCTAGCTGTAGGATCATATGATAGTTTTGTAGATATCTATAATGTAATGAGCAGTAAAAGGGTTGGAATCTGCAAGGGAGCCTCCAGTTACATAACCCATATGGATTGGGACATAAGAGGTAAGGAAATACAAATACTGTAAAATGATTATTCTTGGTAGCTGCTGGTGGGATAAATGGCTACTAATGGCTGGCAAAACCAAGTGATGTAATTGATGGAGCCACTTAAATACAATTGTCTACCATCTTCTTTTGAAAAATGCTAAAAATATTTAAGGACAGTAAATTAAACTGACTCTAACTTTTTGAAACACATTCTGTAATAACCCTTGCCAATGAAGCCTTTCTTCCTCTTTCATCCCCCACTATTTTTCCAGTATGATGGGAAATCCTCAGGATGGGGAGTTTTATCACTGAGGTTTTATATCTCTTGGGGAGCCAATTTTAGTTGGAAAATTTAGCCAAATAAATAAACTGGAAAGATGTTTGAAGCTATTTGTGTTTGGAGCAAAATGAACATTCCCTGGGAAGTTGAAACCGTTCTCTTCTGTGCTCCTTAGTCCACAAAGTACATAGAATCCTGGTGACCTGGGTGGTTTGCCCAGATGCTGAACTGCTGATTACTCTGTGGGCATCCTTTGTGATTTGTCAAGGAGCTGCTTTCCTCCTAATTGGCTTTTGGAGTCAAGTGTGTGAAATGGACGTCTGATTTCACTGCTGCCAATGTTCTTGGTGAATGTGTGACAGATACAAAACAGCAGTAGTGTTCATACAGTCTGCTCGATGCTGCTGAATACTGCTATGGCCTGGGAAATTGCAGGTGTCACAGCTGTTGAAGGAAGTCTCTGTCTGCCACTCACCCTGATTCCAGGCAATTGTCCCCGATTACAGTTCTACAGTTTAGAAAGTGTAAAGCTATACAGGGTAAGTTTCTGATAATTCTGAAGGTTTCCTAAATAATTTCCAAATAGTACTGATAAATATCTCCCAAATGCCCTGAATAAATGTCATAATTAAGATCAATCAAATGTTCAGTAAGATAATCAGTGAGCTGTGCTTTTTTTTCTCTCCAGGCAAGCTTCTACAAGTCAACACCGGTGCTAAAGAACAGTTATTTTTTGAAGCTCCACGGGGAAAAAGGCAGATAATTTCTACTGCACAGGTAAAAATATTCCCATTGTTTTGTTTTATTATGTTTTATTTTGTCGTTTACATGATCATTGGGTATTTTTTCTACAATTAAATTTTAGATAAGAAGAATGGAAAATGACTTTTTTATATAATCTAGCAGAAAATGGGATTTTAATCATACTTAACACAAACTTTTGTGATTTGAATGGCACTTCTCAGTATTAAAATAAAGTAGAACACAATGCTTTCTTTCTTTTCTTAATTTGTGTAGAGGCCACACCTTAAACAGAATCAGGTTGTATATTTTATAAAAATAAAATTCATTAGATAATGTCTTCATATAAATAATGCTAAATGATAAAGAACTCATTGCAAAGATTATATACAACAAAATTGGGGATTTTTGAGTAACATATTTTTTCAGGAGCCTTAGATTTTAAAAACATATAGTTGTAGAAAATTTAAATTGCTTATGTATCAAATTAATTAAGTGTCACTGGATCTTGAATTTCTTTTGGATAATGTGCTACACTGAAGCTGTCTTAAATGCCACTGAGACTGTGGCAAAATAGTGATTATTAGGAGCAGTGATGCTCTGGGAAAAATTCCTTTTATGTCCTCCAGATTCCCTATCTTTCATGTTTTTTTTAAAAAAAAATGCTTATTTTTTGTTAATGAAAAGCTAAATATAAATTTCTACTATATTTGTAAGAATGTCTCTGATTTTACGTGACTCCCTTTTTGTTCTTAAGAAATAAAAATGGTGGATGGATATAACCCAGTCTTTTGTTTGGAAATATAACCTTCAGTCCCTTGCAAAAGAAAAAGTTATCTGAGCTTATAGGCTACTGAGGCTCTACAAAAGGAGGTGGGATGTAGTTATATATAATAAATGGGTGGTTTTGAATGGCCTTAACCTTAGCGGCAGCCATAATTAATAATGTATTTTCTCTTCTTGGCAGCCATTTCTTGAGCACATCCAAACTATAGTCTCATAACTTCCCAAAAAAAGGACTGTCTATTTTCTAGGGTACTGGTTCATATCTTCTGTGTTACTATTTTATGTCTATAAATCCTGAAATTGTTTTCTGTCATTAAATAACTTTTCTTTCCATGCTTAATTAACAAACTTTGATTGTAAAAAGCATTAGTATTATTTCCTCCCACAAAGCTAGCATCCCTGATTAATATTATGGTTTGCATCACTGAAATAGCACAATAATCAATGGAAACAAGTCATTAGAAGCTACAAATAAGCAATTAAAAAAATTTAATAGAACAGCATAGAATAGCATAGTGAGTATTGCTGTGTTGCCCTTTCAGGGAGACTAAGAAACTCATCTCTATGAATTCAGTTCAAATGCTACAAGTATGATTTACACTTAATCATCAGCAAGACACAGGAAGTCAAGGTATGTCCAGGGAATCTTTATGATTTCCATATATATAAAAAACCTTCCCAAAATTTTCCTACAAATGAATAACAAGAACATAAAAATCATTGAGCTACAATCCTATGTGCATTATATAAAAGTAAGCTCTGGTTAACCGAGAAGGGCTTATTTCCAAGAAAACATTCCCTGGATTTTGCTGTAACTACTGCAGATTTCTTTCTTCTGCAGTTTACCTTCTGTCATTCAAGACAGTCATATAAGCAGCAAGTTCTCACTGGACACAGTGGCAATGAACCTTTTATGCACATATTATAATAATTATAATTGTGTAATTGAACCCATTATGTTTACAGCTATAAGTCTTTAGTCAGTCAGAATAATAGTTAAAACTAATAGTTAAAATAAAGCATTGGTCCTCTGTTAAGTATTACAGCTGAAAGATCCATTCAAATATCTTTTTTATTAAAATTAAAATAGTATTAATAATCAAAATAATTGCCAGGCATGTAAAGGTAAGATCTCATTTGTAATAGTTTGATTTTTTAAACTAAAATTCAGTTTAAACTAATATATTGAGTAATAATTAGGTATATGCATCAGATTTGACCAAATCTCGATCCCTGGAAAAGGTGGATTAATTCAGAATAGATGTTCCTCAAGGTGGAGTCAAAAAATCTAAACCAAGTTTCTGGTTTTGAGCCTCAAAGAAATGCCAGTCCTTATTTCTTATTTCTCTGGAAACATAGGCACCAGAAAGAAAAGGACTACAGAAGCTGCAACCCATAAAAGAGACAAGTGTTTGTCATATATGATAATGGGGGAAAGAAGGAGGAATATTTAGTATTAGTGACTGACAAGAATGCTTCTAAACCAGAGTAATTTTTGTGATCAGGTTACTATCTTTGTAGGCAGAAAAGATTTCCTGGACATCTTGGACGAGTGTTTTAGGTACGTGCTGTGAAGGAATATGGCCAATAATTGGAGAAGTCACAGATGTAAGTGCTTCGAGCTTAAGCAGTGACAGTACAGTCTTGGCAACAGGAGACGATTTTGGATTTGTAAAACTTTTCCATTTCCCTGCCAAAGTAAGTAAAATTAATGTCTGCATAATAAAACAAGGCAATCCTATAGTTTTTACATTTAGCAACACACTTATTAAGAGGAATCCACTATATTTGTTCACTATACAGGCTTCGGCTCAACCCTGCTAAGACTGAGTGGCTGTGGGTACCGGCGTCTCGGTCCGATCAAGAGATTCCATCTTTGGTCATAGGGGATGAGGTGTTGCCCCCTGTAGACAGGGCGCACAACTTGGGTGTCCTCCTGGACTCGCGGCTAAACTTGGAAGATCATGTAACGGCCATAACCAGGGGGGCATTCGCCCAGGTTCGCCTGGTGCGCCAGTTGCACCCCTATTTGGACCTAGATGCCCTACGCATGGTTACTCATGTGCTTGTCACCTCCCGTATTAACTACTGCAATGCCCTCTACATGGGACTGCCCTTGAAGACCACTCGGAGGCTTCAGCTGGTGCAGAATGCGGCCGCGCGGGTTGTGATGGGAGTATCTCGATACTCCCATGTTACACCTCTCTTACGCGACTTGCATTGGTTGCTGGTTGCCCTCCAGGTGAGATTCAAGGTGCTGGTGATTACCTATAAGGCCCTATATGGCTTAGGCCCGGGATATTTGAGGGGCCATCTGCAGCTAGCAATAGCTGCCCATCGCCCAGTGCATTCTCACAGAGAGGGCCTCCTCAGGGTGCCGTCGGCCAGACAGTGTCAGATGGCAACCCCCGGGGGAGAACTTTCTCTGTGGGCGCACCTACCTTTTGGAATCAACTGCCCCTGGAGCTCCGGGTGGCCCCCGACCTCCGCTCTTTCCGTCGCGATCTGAAAACATGGCTGTTTCGTTTGGCTGGCCTGGACTGATGGGGCTTAATTTTTAACTTGTTAGTCTTAATTGCACTTTTAACTGTTAAATTATGAGATTTGGATTTAATTTCTTTTTAACTTTTTCATTAGATGTTTTTTACTGTTGTGAGCCACCCTGAGTCCGGCTGGAGATAGGGCGGCATATAAATCTCATTAATAAAATAAATAAATAAATAAATATTTATGTGATCTAGATATAGATTGATTATCTAGCTATCTAGCTATTTATCTATCTCTACAGTATATATGATATTAATATAAATGTATGGCTAAACCCCTGGTTATAACTTTCATTTTACTTCTTTTGTCAAACCAGTGACTGTTTCAGAATACAAATGTTCATTTTATCTGAATATTAGAAACTGCATGCATTAGCCAAATTAGAAAGTAGAATATACAAACTATTTGAGAATTTATTTCCTGTTTTTATGAGAGAGATTATAAATACTCTTATCAATTAACAATTTTAATGAGTTAAAAATCCTGGTCTCAATAAACATACTACAATTTTCAGCATGACTATAGTTCTTATAGTCATCTTTCTTATATGTAACCTGGGCCCCCAAGTATGCGAACGGTTTGTTTCTTGACTTTATTAACATCCGTGGTAATTTTTCTACTTGGTATTCATATATATTTATTTGATATTGTTTTAATTTTTTAATGTTTTATGATCTATACTTCCCAGAGTCACTTCTTGAGATGGGCAGCTATAGAAATCAAATAAATAAATAAAGCTTGCATCACCATGCTGTCATCCCTACACCTCCCCCAATTTAAATCATATATCTGTTGAACTATTCCATGCATCTAATGTAGTAAGCTTTAGTTCAAAAAAACTTTAAATAAAATTTGTTAGTCTTTAAACCAGGAGCCTACTACAAGGCTCCTGGTTTATAGCAAAAACGAATACATCATTATAGGAAGTATGGATTTATTGTGTGTGGGAGAAGAAGCAGTGCTTTCAACATTGGAAAGATAAAATTCTCACAATTGTGGATTTTAAATATATGTTCCTTTTGCATTTATGAACTGGCTTTCTGTCAACATGGTGGAAAATAATTTTCTATGGGTAGCAGTTTAATGATTTATTTAAAAAATAGGCTGAATCATACCTGTTTTATGTATTATGTTTTCTGTGTGTAATGCTTCTTTCTTTCTTTCCTATAATAATTTTAAACAAGGAATCCATGTAAATTCTGGAATATTCATAAACTTACCAATCAAGCTTCATAACTGTGTTAATGATTAGGAAGAGTTCATATGTTAAATCTGAACGTAAACATTCACTTATTCATATTTCAAAATTATTTTGCTGCAGATCTGCAAATTTGGGTTTTAATCTAGTATCTCCTTTCTTTTATATCTGTTCTAGTAAGAATCCTAACATTGGCTTTAACTGCATAAATGGATGAGTCTTCAGTTAAAGCAAAAGCAAAAAACAAAAGAAAAAATCACTGACGTTTTAATGTGTTTTTAGATAATTATTTTTATTTAATTAATTTGTTTAATTAAGCATTTATATATTTCGCATTTAGGGAAAGTACAGCAAATTTAAGCGGTATGTGGCTCATAGTACACATGTGACAAATGTCCGCTGGACTCACGATGACAGTTTATTAGTCAGTATTGGAGGAGGAGATATGTCGCTAATGCTGTGGACCCATGAGATGGAGGGTCATCGAGAAAGTAGGCAGTGTGATAGCGAAGAATCTGACCTGGATTCTGAGGAAGATGGGGGTAAGTAACCATGCCAATTTTAAAGAATAGAATAATTTTTAAAATAAATTCTGCAGTATGAAATAGCAACATCTATTTAGGTATCATTGGTTGATTTTTATTATGGTTTGACTTTATATGGGGAGGTATAGTCCAGCCATAATATCATAAGATCATTGTCAGCATTCCAGAAGAACCCAACTCAATTAAAAACTCCGAGACAGGCATTTTCTCAAAGTTCCCATTTATTAGAGTAGGTATACTGGCACATCTGGGAAAACCTGAATCTGAGAGTTCCAGGTTTTCCCTCGGTAAATCAAAACCCCAAATCCAGCCCCTGCACCCATCAGTCCATCACATGGTCCAATCACCATCCATCGCATCTCGAGACACCACTTCAACCACTCCTTCTCCAGATGCAGGACTGCCATGACCTTGACCGAAAAGAAGAATGCTATTTTGTCTAACTACATTCCCTCTACTAAATCCCCCCTCCTAATTTCCCAAGCACAAGAAGGTGGCAGTGTGGATGCTTCCGGTGTTAATATGGCTTCCAAAGCTGACAATCATATACCTAGCAGTTTGAAAGCGTGGAAATACAAGTAGATTAATAGATACTACTTCAGTGGGAAGGTAACAATGTTCCATGCACCTTTGGGGTATAGTCATGTTGACCATGGAAATTGTCTTCGGTCAATGCTGGCTCCCTTAGCCAAGAAACGGAGATGTGCACCGTGCCCTAAAATTGGACACAACTGATACTGGAAACCTTTACCTTTTTTATATCTGGGGAAGAGAGTATGTGCTAAATGAGGTGTGTCCAATCTGCTGCCCAGAGGCTGCCTGTGGCCCTGAATAGCTAGTAATGCACAAATTCGTAAACGTTTAACATTATTATGTATTTACGTACATTAACTATACTATATATTTTATATGTGACCCAATGTAATTCTTCTTCAATCAAAAGCAAGCCAAAAGGTTGAACACTCAAAAGAGGGAGGGTCTTGTTTGTTTGTTTGTTTGTTGTTTGGACCTAGAATATTTACTTGTTTAGCATTGTGAATACTTGCTTTAATAGTATAAAATATAACTTGTAATATTATTGCATAGTGAAGCGGGTCTTTTAGGAAAAGAAAGGTTTTTCCTGTTGTTTGAAAGTCTATATTAGAATCAAACTACTGATTTGTCTTTGAAACTCGGGAAAAAGAATCCTTATATAAATAAAATAATATAATATCTAGTCTATTTCTTAGGTCTATTAACTATTAAAATTGTGATTATTTTATTAGGATATGATAGTGATGTCACAAGAGAAAATGAAATTAATTACACCATTAAAGCCTTATCAACCAACATAAGACCTATGTTTGGAATCAAGCCTCATCTACAGCAAAAAGAGCCTTCAGCTGATGAAAGGTACTGCTAACTTTGCAAAACAAAAAAAAATATTTATGTACTATATGGCCACTAATGTGCCATAGCAACTCTGGGCAACTAACATGCCTATGGACTAAAAAGTTAATTTTATTACAGATTTGACACATGTAACAATAATTAGTAATGAGTTGCTTGAACTTAGGATCAGTCGTTTTGTTAATGGCCTAATGGCTCTCCATTTCTTCAGAAATAATTTGTATTACATACTTCAAAATCTGGTAATTGAATCCTGCTGTATTTCATATTTGCAGTTCGTCTGTGAATTCATCTGAATGCAACTTTGTATTTTAGTCATGAACCTTAGCTTTAAAGTCCTGCATGGCATCACTAGATAGGATAACTAGTGCCCAAGAAAAACTCCACAGTAACTCTAACCTTAAGATAGGAATGTTGTGATAATAGTTTTCCTACCAAGCCTAATAATATATTCTTTCTTCATGCATTATTCAGGCAGACATTTGAAAGTGTCATTTCTAGCACAGCTGGAAGCAAAACATTAGAGATTTGTAGGACATTCTTATAAGAAGGGTGAAAGAGAAGACAAATAACTCTAGTAAAGGAAAGATTACTGCAGAGGTACATTTACTCAGAGACCAGTCTCTGCATGGATGAAAAAAAATCTAATACATTTAAACACTGGCGCTGGTAAAAAATATTTATTTCTAAGTAATTTACAGAAGCTCACATACATGGTACATCCTGTTGTCCATTATTCTTTACATGTACATTTTGTACTTAGTATCAATATCTTTATTCAAAATTAACTTGGGAATCAGTCCAGACACAGGCTTACTAATAATGCAGTATGAAAGTTATGTTAATATATCATAAACTATATCCTCTACAAATTATTGTTCATTTTAAATATTAGGGAATCAAAAAATAATAATCCTCTTAATTTATTTCAGTTCTCTTTTCAGTACATTTATACTGTGCGTTTTTTTGTAATTTAATTTTCCTGTTTATTTTTAATGCTTGCTATGAAGGCAAGGAGTTGTAAGGTGAGTTACTCTTTATAAAATCACTATAAATCATGTTATCAAGTCAAATCTCATTAGAAAAAAAATATGTTTGAATTTAGCGAAATGATATTATTTGTCAAGTGGGATTCTAAGGAACATTGTGTTGGAACAATATGGTTTCCTTTGATTGTGTTTACAGAATGATTTGAATGTGACATTACCATGTTTCCATCTCCAGCAGAGTATTCCTACGATTGCTGGGGCAACATCTGTTGTGTATGTCAGAAGTTATTGGATATATGAGTTTCTTCCCTCAGAGAGTGGGAGTATGATATTCTTAGGAGAAATTTTATACAAGATATTTTTGCCAACCTTCCAGAATAGTTGTTTCTGCAATCAGGAAATCACTGTCTTGGAAAATCCAAAAGTAGTTGTACTGAGGCTGGATGATTACTTGATCTGTTAGATCCTAGCTACACATGTCTATCTGCCTATATGTTATAAGGATTGGGCAACTTTGCTTTTCTTAAATCTTTACTGTATTCTATCCATCCGTATAGTGTGAGAAAGTAGACCAAGCCCCAACGCTTTGAGCAGCACTGAGATTCTTTTTATTTTTAGGAAGGGACTGAGAAAATGGTTTGCACAATCTGCGTGTTGGTCAGCTGCTCTATAAATCAAGAGTTATTCCTCATACTTCTCAGGTTGCCTATTAAATAGGCTGTGGAATATTACCAGGGAGAGTTGGGAAAGAAATTATTTTGGGAAAGAATCAGATGTTATGTTGAATAAATTACTGCCTTTCATATCTTTACTTCTTAAACTTCTTAAAACACACACCTGAGTACAATTGTCTGCGAGGGGAGTACAAAAGGGCGGGGTTTTAATTATATTCTTCTTTGGTGATCAATGAATATTGATCACATTATTACATATTATTAGAAATGGTAAGAAAGCTGTTGTGATCAAGCAGCTTCTCCTAATAGTTTCCATATAAATAAAAAATAAATAAATAAAGCAAATATAGCAAATAAAAATTACATTTTTATGGAAAACATTTTATTTATATATACATACATACATACACACATACACAAACACACACACACACACACACACACACACACACACACACATAAGCATGCATGCATGCATGCAATTCTGAGGCTTCCCAACACTAGGCAGTATATAGGATTAAAAGCAGAAAAACAATACGAATGTAAGCATCTGGAAAAAAAACTTTATCAGATAAAATTTGATAGGGGCTCAGTACCACCCTAATCCAAAAGCTTGGGGAATAGCCAAATTTTCACTGATGTTTTGAACATCATCAGGGTGGGAGCCATATAACACCTGGGCTGATAATGTTCCAGAGGGCAGATGTCTTGGAGACTGGATGAAAATTATCCAGAATTGTTGGGTCAAGGGCTGACTTCTTGAGGAGAAATTATATCACTGGTTGATTTATTATTTTATTTATTTATTTTATTAAATTTTTATACCGCCCTTCTCCTGCTAGACTCAGGGCGGTGAACAGCCAAGAATAAAAAAACATCCGATACAAAATTTAAAATTATTAAAAGAATTAAACAAATTTTGGCCCAGATTTAAAACATCCCAACTAAAATCTGTTACAATTAAAATATATAAGGGGCGGGGTTTACGCCAGCCCAGCTTGATGAAATTGAAAAGTTTTGAGGGCACAGCGAAAAGCACAGAGATCTGGTATCCTACATATCTCCGGGGGCAGGTCATTCCAGAGGGCAGGTGCTGCCACAGAGAAAGCCCTCCCCCTGGGGGTCGCCAGCCGACATTGCCTGGCTGACGGCACCCTGAGGAGTCCCTCTCTGTGGGAGCAAACTGGCCGGTGGGAAGCTATTGGTGGCAGAAGGCGGTCCCGTAAGTACCCAGGCCCTGTACCATGGAGCGCTTTAAAGGTGGTAACCAAAACCTTGAAGCGCACCCGGAAGACCATCGGGAGCCAATGCAGCTCGCGCAGGAGGGATGTCACATGGGAGCGGCCGATTGCCACTTTAAAGATGGAGGAACCAGCCTTTTCATAAAGCAACCTGTAGTTGCACGAACCCAACTAACTACATGTCACCATCCAGGCTGCTTTAACAACCTAAAACAACCTGAATAGGTAGCTGAACTCACTTTTTAAGGATCCTGTCTATATCATGAGCGACAGGCTTAAAAACAGCCCAGGTAAAAGACATCAAACACCTTAGCTGGACTTGCAACTTGAAACTTTGAGTACATCTGAATAATTTTATCCACCAAGTAGCTAAAATATTCTGCAAAGCAATTCTGAACCCTGAACTCCACCAGGAAGGAACAAGTCACACTAAACAGGACCATTGGGAGGATATTATTGGATATAATAATAAGAGTAGGGAAATAATATTTTGCCACCCATAGGCTTATTTGGGTTTGGTCAGATTCATTCTTCGCTCTAGTGCTCTTACTGATGCAGATCTTTCATTTTCAAATGACTGTTTCAAGGAAACAAAGCTATATCAGATCACAAAGTTACTGTATCTTTGTTACTATAACTAAAGATCTATATCAAGCAATCTTTCTAAATTATACAAGTTTTAGAATCCAGAGAGTATAGTACTGCCTTCAAATTACCTTCCTTTGATGCAATTTATTGTTGGATGAACCTAGTCTCTATGTTGGCAGGAGAATTTTAGTAAAGTGCTTAACAAATGAAATGAAAATGATATTGAGCAGGAGTATTCCTATGAGGAGGTTGAGTAATAGATGAAATTGATTCGAAGTTTATACAATATAGTTTGTATATTATAATTTGGATGATGTAAGTATTAGATAGTATTGTGGGAAAAGATGGCATATTGTAAATAAACGCATCAAAACCTTCACCTGTAGAGTTGCTTCCAAAATGATTGCTGTTTCTCAAATGAGATTATGTAGCTGCTCATACTTTCTTTCATAGCAATTATATTGTGAAAGAAAAAAAGTAAAGAAGTGATGAGGAAAACATGGGGAATTTACCAGTAGAAGCTGGCTATCCTTCATGAAATTCTGTATATGAGGCAGGGTGACTACATACAGGCTGTTTTGCTCTCATTGCAGTTCAGTTCAGAGGTTCTAAATATTTTTAAGTAATGGTAAGAAGCGTGGAACGCCACATATTGCCTTCCCCTTTCCTGATGACTTTCTTGCTGTGTCTAGTGGCAATAAATGAACAAGTGTTACTCAGAGTTGCTTGATCTTGACTGTTCATCATTGGGGATCCTAATAAATCATATGAATAAAAATATATTAAATTTATATGCAGCCCTACTTCCAGCATCCCTAGGAATGTAAAAATAGATCTTTGAAAAGCATTCAAAACTTTTCCTTCAACTTTTTGCCTCTTGGTAGTAATACATCCTCAACAAATTTTTTAGACTCAGGCATTGTGCTGAAGAGAAAATTAAAAGAATTCTGCAATAATGGCAAATATCTTTAGCTTGGGTGTAGGATGAGGGTGAAGGTTCTATTCTCCTTGTGGATTGGTTTCCAAATGTTTCATCACCAGGCTAGGTAATATCTTTAGTGGAGTTTAGGGGGATAAAATAATTCTATATAAACCTTACCTATTATGAAGAAAAAAATACTGACATTTTTCTAAAAGCACCTATTTTAATGTATCAGTTTCAAGATAGATTAGAATAAGTAATCATCTTCTTTTTCCTATCTGCTGCTGAAAAGAGGTTCCAGGTAATACTTTCTCTTTCATCCACTTACTCCATATTTCTGCATCATCCTCCATTGCCCTCCAAAGCTATCTGCCACTGTAGTGTCATTATTTATTTATACCTGCACTTGTCAACATTTATCATCCTATGTTATTTGCATACATAAGTAAATCTTTGTAAAGTAACTGCTATTATGTGAACAAACATAAAATAAAACTAATGTGTGAAATTCGGTCTATTGTCAAAGACAAGTTGACACAGGTTTTATTGGAAATGTTAGATGTGGTACTAGTTAATTTAGGTCCCTATTTTACTTTTATTTTTAAGAGGTGAGTGAAACTTCTGGCAGGGGATAAAAATGGTAATAGCTAAATGTAAGAAACAGCTTCTCTGTAGACTTGTTAAAATTATTTAATGGTATTTCTGTTTCTGATACAGAACATTTTGCAATTATTCTTTTCATAGATAGAAGACAGAAGACAGAGATAGATGGATTATTGTCATAGAGCTGGAACAAATTGCAAATAAAACACATTCAAATAAAATAAAAACAAAACGGGATAAGAATTTTTAGTTAGTGGTAGATTTATCCACCAATAGGCAGTCAAAGTATCCCTAATTTTACAGGCAGTATTAATAGACTTTAGCTGCATTCAAGAAAACTAAATAATACTGATCTGATAACAACAGTTGTATATAAAAATAATCATGATTTCCTGTGTGTTTTAACCAGATAAGGCATTATAAGGGAAATACTAGGATAGAGGTATATAGAGGGTACAGTAGAGCAAGATATAATTTCAATAGTTCCTATCTACAGGGCACAGTCTTAGCTCATAAGGAACTTTTTTATACTGGCCCTTCAATACTCCTTTAGGGAGAATGTTGCATTAGTGCTCTTCGAAATTTGGAAACAGTTATAAATGATGTATATTTCTTGCCGATTTGAAATGGCAGGTGGCTTAACTGCTCAGAAAAACATTTTGTGTTGAGCAGGCTAGTGCTTTTGGGCTTCTAGATATTTATTTATTTATTTATTTAATTTGTAAAATGTATTGGCCACCCATCTTACCCAGAATAACTCTGGTGGCTTACAATAATAAAAGATAAAAACTATGAAGCTAAAAGATATAGATAACACATTGCTTAAATGCATAGTTCACATTCTCAACCTATCATTAAGAATACTATTTTGGAAATGCTAAGATTTCACAATTTTTGTGAAATTGTCCTGGTCCATACTGATTCATAGCTGTTCTCAATAAGAAAAGAATGCAAACCTGGGGGTGGGGGGAAAATAATATTTGCAAGCCAGTGTGGTATGATGCAAGT